AGAAAGACAATCAACTTATTAATTATTACATGTACTTTGTACTGTAGCTCCTTGTTGAAGAAGATGCCAATGTTAACATCCCTGATCGCTATGGTGACACTCCGTTACATTGCGCAATAAGACAGCACACGCTAACTCAATTGAAAGAACTCAAGGAATCTCCACAAGACGTCTCAAAGGTAGTATACTAATAATATACTGAGTATTGTGGTAGCTAGTATACTAATAATTTACTGAGTATTGAGGTTTCTAGTATACTAATAATATACTGAGAATTGTGGTAGCTAGTATACTAATAATATACCGAGTATTGAGGGTGCTTTGAAGTATTACAATGTGCATTGATACACGTACGTGTAGTTTTAGGCTATGCCAAATACTTTTTTGAGTTATATACGATAATTTTATTGCATGTACATCTTATTTCACGTATTTACATGTACATGTACATTTGTAGATGCTGTCAAGTTCACAGAAAAAGACAAGTTCGTCTGTCGCCATTTTTCTTGCTTCTCATGGTGCTGATTTCTCTTTGACCAATTCAAGCAACCAGAGGCCACTTGATCTCTGCTCTGATCCCTCACTTATAAAGACTTTACAAAAATGTCAGGAAGAACATCATTCCAAAGAAAATGGTGAGAGATTTAGTGCTTTAACTGGTACATGCACAAATGATAGTATGATACCTCTAGTGATTAGGACTAGTACTATAGTACAGGGGCTTTGGCTAAAAATGACTAGGAGAGAATTCTTCATTTTTATAATATTTTCTGATGCATTTGCATATTCTTATGTTGTATAGCAAGTTTGAGCTGATTCCGATTAAATTTGGATTTGTTACGAATTTTTAAAGTTACTCAAAAATCAGACCAGGATCCCTGTACTATAGTACAGGGGCTTTGGCCAAATTTCGCCAAAAATGACTAGGAGAGAATTTTTTATTTTTATAATATTTTCTGATACATATATATGTTCTTATGATGTGTAGCAAGTTTGAGCAGATTCCGATCACATTTAGATTTCTTACGAATTTTTAAAGTTGCTCAAAAATTGGGCCAAAGTCCCTGTACTATAGTACAGGGATTTGGCCAAATTTCGCCAAAAATGACTAGGAGAGAATTCTTTATTTTTGTAATATTTTCTGATACATATACATGTTCTTATGATGTGTAGCAAGTTTGAGCTGATTCCGATTAAATTTGGCTTTTTTATGAATTTTTAAAGTTACTTCAAAAGTTCAAATGCCATGTAGCACTACAGTACAGCACTACAGCTACAGTAGTGTGTAGCACTGCAGCACTACACTGTAGTACATGTAGCATGCTCCTCTCCAATTAATGCATTATGATTATTACGGGTATATCTATTACAGGTGCTAGTGATGTTCATATTAATAAATGCATGAAGTGTCACTCTTTGGATAGAGATGTGCTCTTCAGTCCCTGTGGTCACATTGCTGTTTGTTCAATATGTTCAGCAGGAGTCACCTCCTGCTCACTCTGTGATGCTACTATCACCAGTAAAACAAAGGTACAGAATAAATAAATAAATAAATAAATGAATAAAAATAAATAATAATAAGTAAAGGTTCAAGACTGACTAATTTATATTCATCTGCTCCTTCTTTTCCCTGTGGCATAAGGACACGCCTACTCTGATTTCTATCTCTCTTCCATGTAATAAAAATTGAGATGTTATTGCAGGATTATTCGCAGCCATTTTGACATTAAGTATTCATGTTTTGTATTATCCTCAAACTTTCTATACCGTACGTGTACAGCATAAGGGCATCAATTTAGTATATATTTACATGTATATACATGTATATATATATATCTCTCTTTTTTCTCTCTATCAGATTGATGAGTGTCTTGTTTGCTCCCAGAGACTGGCCGACGTATTGTTCAAGCCTTGTTTACACATGGTAGCGTGTGAAAGTACGTGTACATGTACATGTACACTGATTATTATTAATTAATCAATTAATTTATAATTATAGGTTGTGCTATAGTTATGAAGAAATGTGTCCATTGCAGAGCTCAAGTTGACGAGACAGTCTCGAGAATTGTCTGTCAGGGAGGGAAGGGTACGTCGTGTTTTTCTTTAATTTATTTTTTATATATTTTTCTTTATTAGCTACAAAGAGGAAGAGTTTTAGTAAAGTGGGCGTGGTCAGTCCCGAGCCTCCGAGCAATCTTAGTGCATTGCAGCAACAGCTGCAAGTGCTCAGAGAAAAAGTGAGAAAAAGGAGTAAGAATAAACCTTAACTGCTCTCTCCCTCTCTCTCTCTCTCTCCCTCCCTCCCTCTCTCCCTCCCTCCCTCCCTCCTACCTCTCTCTCCCTCCCTCTCTCTCCCTCCCTCTCTCTCCCTCTCTCTCTCTCTTAATCTCTGTGCTGTTTGTATGGATCGTCGTAAGAATTGTGTGTTTCTTTGTGGTCATGGAACGTGTCAGCTGTGCGCCGATAAACTCACCGAGTGCCCAATCTGTCGGAAACCAGTGGAAAAGAAGATCATTACATTTGACTAAGTCTCTCTCTCTCTCTCTGCTCCTAATCATACCCAATCATCATACATGGATCAATCTCTGCTGCTTTAGCATGACTGTGTCTTAGCTATAGGCAGCCTCTTAATTTTATTGTACATTCAATTTTATTTTTTTGTTTTGTGTGACTGACTTTTTGTCATAGGGGTTAATTGTACCGACTAGCCAGTCAAATTTGAGCAGGCTTTCGGGCTGCAAATTAAAAATGTTATCTATTGACAGAGAATTAGAGTTCATAGTTGTTCACAGAAAATAAGGTTTTCTTCTTTATTACAAATCAAGCATCTAGAAATTATTAGTCAGTGAAATTAATCTTAAGTTCAATAATCACTTACGGATGCTTTTATCATGCTCTCAGTTAACTCTGTGATCATGCGATCAGTATAACTACCTGATTTCGTTAGATTTGATTCAACCTCTTGATATTTTATCGATTGCACTGATCTTGCAAACGAACCTGAGTGAGACATACTATAGAACAGCAGCTGCCTTGAAAATAACAAATAAAATAATTAAAAAATACCAGTAATACAATATGGTAATAATTTACTTGCTCCATATCAAACAGCAACAAGAAGCCGATAAAAGTATCGAAGACACATTCTCTTCTCTCTCAATCGTGTGAGTACTCATTGTGCAGTTGGAAAGAAACTTTATGAAAACCTCATGAGGTTCTATAACGTACGATGCCTCAACTTGAGTCCTCTCTACCTTACGAATGTACGGCTTGAATAACGACACTGTTAATTGAAGCAACTTGTCAATGTTGCTGTAATCTCTAGCTAGTTCTTGGCTCCATGTTCCATGTAGTTTGTAATAAGCTGATCCCAATTCAGTCCAGTACTCAGGATAATGTCTCTGAAGTAGACAACATTGACCTCTAGAGAGGGTTTCATCTACAAAAATTATTTCCGACGTAGATTGAAATGAAGTCTCTCTCTTACTTATCATGTCTCCGCCTTTCATGTAACATTCTGCCAACAGTTGCCATGACGATGCATCCTTCTCGTGTGGCGGACTAACGAGAAGGCGTGCCCATTCTAACAACTCTTCCTCCTCCTCCACTCTCTTCTCTTCATTGCGGTTTAGATAACAGTGTACTATACTGTCTTGTAACTCTCTCGTTACCTTTGTATTATAATATTATTAGTGCTTAGATTAAATGCATACTTGTCCGTAGGTGTGAGGTAGATATGTCAGTATATCCTTGTATATTTTCAGTGCATCCCCGTAATCTCCTTTATAAAACAATAGATCGGCTTTGAATTTCACTGTCATAAAGTCGTCGACTTTTTCATTATTCCCAACTGCCATAAACCACTAAAATAAAGAGGCCTATACGTAACTTTGAAAAACTATGCACTTTATGCACAACATTAATTTGATTAATTTTTTCCTCTCTCTCTCTCTGTACCTCTGGTTGACACTGCTTGGGATAATAATCAAACTCGTTCCTTTTAAGTTTCTTCCTCTCCTCCTTTCTCCTCTTCTCTTTCTCTTCATCCTCAAAAAGTGAATCATCAATTGTGAACTCCATCTTTTGCTATACAAACTATAATGCACACTGCCACACTCCTTATAAGGCGATTAAGGCCACAGCATAATGATAATAGTAATAATAATAATAATAATAACCAATGATAATAATAATAATAATAATAATAATAATAATCATAATAATAATAATAATAATAATAATAATAATAATAATCATAATAGTAATAATAATAATAATAATAGTAATAAGTAAGACCAGAAAATAATAATAAGATCAAAACTTTTCTCTATGGTTTTTGGCCTGATTTTTAGCAACTTAAAAACTTGCAAAAAATCTAATTTTGATAGAAATTATGAGCTCAAACTTTTAACACAACATAAGGGCATGTTTTTGTATCAGAAGAAATTAGAAATCTCTCCCTTTCAATTATTGCAAAATTTGACCAGAGATCATATACTGTACTGAGACTTTGACCCAATTTTGAGCAAATTAAAAAATTTGTAAAAAATTTAAACTTGATCAGAATCAGTTCAAACTTTCTATACAACATAAGTAGAAAAATTATAAAAATAGAGAATTCTCTTTTGCTCCAATTGTTGAGCAACTTTAAAAATTCATAAAAATCTGATTTGGAATCAATTAAGTTTCATACGAAGAGAGAAATGTGTGAGACAACTCATAAAATGTGTGCATGTGTGAAAATGACATTATGCAACAAATTTTATAATAAATTTTACCCTCCACTACACTTGGATACCACTACGCTACACATGCACACATACATGTACATGTACGTGTACATGACAAGATGCCCATTGATATCCATGTACATGCACATGTACATGGACATGACATGATGTCCATCGATATCCAATGGTGTCCAGTGAAGGAGAAGTGATCGACTTTAGAACTGGATAGTGGTATAAGCTGAAGGAAGAGTAGAGGACTAGATGACTCCTGTACTCAAGGAAATGAGATGAACTGATACATTGATTACTAAAGAATCAGTCTTCTACTACTGTGATAAGAAATCAAGGTATTGTACATGTACTAGTAGAGCAGTAAAGTATGACATGTTGTAGAGTATGACATGTGTACATGTACATGTGTACATGTACATGTACACATGTCATAAAGTAGTCCCTATTGTTGAAAATCCTGCTGTTGGTGAGCGATGTCATGTTTCTATTCTAGACAAATATAATTATCACCAACTTCTACATATTTTGCAGGAGTCCAGTACACAATGGCACTGTTAATGTATATTCTGGGCATTATAGTTATGGCTTTTATCAACCTCCAGGTCCTCCGCCATTCTATTCACTAATGGCAGTTGAGGATGATGAAGCCTGGTTGAGGATTGAGCGCTTCAAGTGACTATTAAAAGAGAAAGGAGGAGGAGGCCAGGGGGGGTACTACATGTCTCAAGCCATGCATGCACATTGAAGCCTATACTATCAAAGTATTAAAATACCGGGTACAAGTGTTATATTCATTGTACCAGTCTACCACCCTCCATTATCCAGAGTTTAACTTTTCAAATTTATCACAACAAGAAAATAAAATATAAATAAAATAACAAAACTATAAAAAAAACAAACAATACAATTCATTAAATTTTTTAATAATAATAATATCAAGTCCTGGATGTTCCAGGGTTTTTAAAGAGTCAATGAATCTGTCTAAGTATAGCTGCCATCGGGGCAGCTACTTAATTGTAGCAAAATTTTATTTAACAGATGCACCGCTTTTTCTGATTGTCCACTACATGTGAGGATATAGCTATAGCATTCTGAAGAAATTATATCTTTTGATACGAAAGTAGTTGCTGCTACTACCAGCTCAGATGGTAGGATCGCAAGAATCTGAGAGAATAATACTTTTTAAATTTCTGTACCACTGGCTATAAAAATGAAAGAGTGAGTGTAATTAAGTAATTAACAATACTTGTTATAAAAATTAAGACATAGAAGAAACTATTAATTTTATTTACTTTATTTGGCGGATTGTAATATCCTCCTCTTTATTCTTGAGCCTGGGGAATTTACTTTTGTACATTTCTCAGCCTTTTAAAAGGCACCCCAGACCCAAAAATACGACCAGGACCAATACCATTCCGAACAAAAGATAATTTAAAGTTTCTTGATGGGTGCAATCTAAAATAACAACATCAGTAAAAAGTAAATTGTGTAATACTTTGCAAAAATTATTATACTAATCACGGGAGCATGCAGCAACTGTATTGCTGTTAAAATTACTAAATGACATTGATAATATTTGCTTGCCCTGTTTCTGGTTCTATAAGGAGTAATAAGGAGTAAACATAACATGAATTTATGGTGAATTAATTCTACTACAATGAATATGAATAATTATAATTATTACCCTTGGCAAAATAGAGGGGTTCAAATATTTCTGCTCCAGCTGGTACAAGGCTTGTACTGTCATATAATTGAAGCATATCTATGATTGAAGAGACTGGAATGAACAGTTGTGGTTGTGATCTATGGTTAGATCAAAGATAATATGGTTAGATTTAGATCTGCTTTCACCTTGGCTTTTGCATACATTGAATTTGTTAATAAAAGTATTATATATATATATATAGCTATACCATAGATACTAATCATAGTCATACTATTACAGTAGCAATGGCTATATCCACCATCCCAGAGCTAATTATCACGAGGACTATAGAACACGAGGACTAACTATTGTACCGTATATGCCAGAAAAATATTTCATAATTCCAAGATCCAGTCAGTGATGTGGTCGAGGTGCAGCCTCGTCAATATCTAGTTCATACAACGAATCTGGAGCTTATTTATTCCTTCTTACAGCTTCACTAATGCTATTGCCATAGATATACGACTGTTGCTTAGTGTATTTTTTATCAGTTTAATATCAGCCGTCCAATGTGGGCGGTTATAGAATATATACGGTGCATTAGACTCGCGATAATTAGCCTTGGGATGGGTCTATAAACTAATACATAAAGAATAGTTCTTTGAAGTCAAGGTATCGAAAGACATATAATTTTGGGGGGACTCTCACAGGCATCTTGTAAGCAGAGGTTATGCTTGTAACCTTTGCTTGCTTCTTTTAAAATAATGAACAATGTACATGAATCACTTTGCAGCGTGATCAATAATTATATTCTAAATTGATACAGTTAATGACACTGAGTATACAGTAATAAAACAACATTGAGTTCTTTCTTTCAATCAATTAAAGCCTCATTGGGAAGGTAAGCAACATTATTGCGGTCGTTGGGTATCTCGGAAATTGAACTAACAATGAGCTCAGATCTTCTTCTTGTCGACAAACGCTTCGAGCGACGAGCAGGTGACATGATCAGATTGGTATCAAAATCTTTACTAAAGAGAGAGAGAGAGAGAAATCATTAACAGTAACAAGCCACATAGTGTAAGACATACATCATTTTCTTTGATGCGTTAATTTGTACTAGTTTAGTCATAAATGCCCCCTCAGTTTCGTGACTTTTATCAACCTCGAAAACTGGATCTGGTATAGAGGACAGGCGCTTTTTCAAGCTGCTCTTTGACTTGCTAGCTGACTGTGGTGTTTTTAGTAAAGACTTAGGAGTGGTGGGAGGTCGGAGGGAAGACGGAGCTGGAGAAAACGATATGAGATCTGGGAAAGGGCTCTCGGCGACTGTAAAAAAAGAAGAACAATGTCAAAATTCTTTCTTCTCTCCCCCTCATCTCTCTCACTATTATCTTTCTTTTCAGGTGTAACAGGGGCTGGTGGTACTTCCTCTTCTTCTTTTGTCTTGGAAGCAGCCGCAAAGGCTTGTCTCATTTCTCTTATTTTCAGACGCTCAGCCTCTCGTTTCGCTCTCGCTGCCTTGAGTCGCTCAGAAATGGCGGATGAAGCTCCAGTCTTACTGCCGCCACGTTTGGCCTTGGAGGCTCCCCTCTATTAAAAAGAGAACCACTCAAGTAACTCTCCCTCTTCTCTCTTGAAGTGACGTACTTTGCTACGACGAGGTTTACATGTAGTTGAGTCTCCATCTTCAGCTGGTGTCACGACTGTCTTCCACGAATTGGATTCCATTTCGGAAAATGAAGAGAATTTCTTATAAATACTCTCAACTTGGAAGTACACCATGTCCCAGAACCCTTGGAGATCTTCAGCCATTGTTTTATGCTCAGCCGCAGGGTCCTACAAGTGACAAAAATAGCCAGGAATAAATGGGCATCAATTAGAATAAATCCCAAGCATTAATTGGAATAGTGAAGTGGGCATTAATTGGAATACAAGTAAGCATTACTTAGAAATAAAATACCTCAGCTTGTTGGACCAATTCGAGATACTGTTTCAATTTTTGTCTCATGAGTAGCTTAGCCTGACACACCGTTGTCCTAATATCACCTATCACTATAGTATAAAGTAACAAAAATAATATCAGTAATCATGAGAAGTTTGAGAACCATTGATTGACTTACCTTCATCACTTGGACGACCAGCGTCTTCTTCCTTCTCTCCGTCGTCCTCTAACTGCGAGAGTTTATCATCCCACTCAGCACAGAGTGCATTAAATCGTTGAGTGACGTCGGTATGACGCTTATAAAATGGTACCAGATCAAACCCACTGTCATTACCTGTAGCATCAGTCGCCAAACCTTCAGAGGGCGGAGTCACGTCAGTTGTGGGCGGGGCAAAGTTAGTGACGGGCGGAGACAAATCTTGAGTGTGTGCGCTAGCTGGTGGATCGGTAGAACTCTGTCTCTCTTCTTCTAATTGCTGATTGGTATAATTGTTGTTGTGTGCTACGGATACGTTAATAGCTTCAATGGACGTGTCAGACATCCTGACATTAGTAGGTAGTTCATCTACCGGCTCTTCTTCTCTTCCTATCTTTGTACCTGTGTCTATGGTTTCTAGGTCTTCTTCGTCATCACTTTCCTTCTCTGTCCTTTCATTCTGTCGCTTCTTTAAATTCCTCTTTCTACCACCTCCTTTCACTTCTTTTTTAGCTGACTTTCCTCTACCTGTGTCATCTGTGGCCGGCACAGCCGCTTCCTTTTCTTCCCTCTTCTCTTCCTCTATATTGCTAATGGAATCATCTTCGATACGTTTAATAATGTCTTCTTCTCTGAATTCTTTACGAAATGTAAAAATACTTTGAGCTTTGCCTGTATTAGTCTCGCCTCCAGTCTGCCCTTTAAATTGAAATGGGCTAAAGACTTGCTTGGAAAAGAACTGCTCAAAATTAGGACGAGCATTCTGACTAGCACACTGAGGTGTGGGCGGAGCTCCAGGTATCCATGCCGACGACAATACGGAGTCACGTTGCAAATCAGATTTATCAATACAAGGAGGAGGGTGAGGAGAGAGCTCTTTTGTGATTTCTCGTTTAGAATTGGTGGATTTTGATGATTCAGCAGTCAATTGTTTTTTGGTGGATTGCTTCACGGCTTTAGTTTCCTTTGATTTTGCGGTTTGTAAACGAACCGAAGATCGTGTGGCCGGCTTTTGAACTTTATCCGGTTGCCTTGAACCAGTAACTCTCTTTCTTCCCAACTCCTCTCTCTTGGCATTGCCAGGCGGTTCTGTTACTCTTTTCCCTCCTTTTTTAGAAGGACCTTCTTTAACTGTTGCTGTACTACTCGGCTCAACAGGAAGGGGAACCTTTCGATTTGATGAGATATTTGCTTTTCCAACGACGAAAGCAGGTTTGGCATTAGCCTTTTTTTGTTCCTTTTGCTTTTTCCTGTCCCTCTCCTTTTTCCATTTCAGTAGTTCTTCTTTTCTATCGTCACTCGTCTTCTTTTTACCAGTAGCACCAGTCCCCTTTTCTACATAAAAATGGACAATTATATATACATGTACATGTATATTACGTACGCTTAAAATGCAATTCAAAATTTATGCATTATTATTATCATTATTGAAATATGTGTACATTTTTATTTAATTTCTAACAAACCTTGAATCTCTTCCTCCGCCATTATTTCTTCATTAATTTCAAGGAGTGCAGCTCTCCTCCTCCCTGAGAGCAACTCTTCTCTCTGTCTTTTAGAATCAAGAGCCTTCCCCTTCAGTCGGGATTCAACGCCTTTGGAGCGACCCTTGTACTTATACTGCGTCTCTCGGGCCTGTGACATGATCCACTTATAAAGGGGGGAGCTATGGCAAACACGAGGAAGAGAGAGAGAAATTAAATTTAATTTTTTTTTATTTAAAAAAATTATTTTGGATCCTGATTGGTCGGTTTCAGTTCATTAACCCTCAAAATGGCGGACAGAAAACTGAGAAAAGCAACAGGTAATTAAATTCCCTCATGTATCTAGGCATTGGGTTATTATTTTGATGCACTGTAGGACCCTAGAGACATTAAAACTTTGAGTCTGTTTGCTGAATAGAGTACAATGGAGTTTAGTAGAAGAATAAGGCTGAACAAGACAACAGTTTTCTTAATAGTATTAGTATTTCTTGCACTTGTGATGGTGTACTTATTAATGGGAGGAGGAGACAAATACAATGATCACGACATTAAGATATCTCAATTGCTCGCAGCTTCTATACACCTCGCCGAAAAAGCCGGACAAGAAATTGTCGAGATCCGCAAGTCCAAAAGCCTCCAGGAAACCTCAAAATTAAAAGAAGGGCTGGCCGGGAAAGAGATTGTGACACTCGGCGATCAAAAGTCGCACAATATCATAACGAGAGGTCTGAAAGAGGTTTGGCCTACTCTGCGGACTAAATCGGAAGAGAAAACCCAATCGGACCATGACAAGGGCCGGGCATTTCGACCACTACTGAAACACCCTGAAATAACAGCAAAGATCCAACAGAGGAATGAGAAGGTTAATAGTGACGACATAGCAGTTTGGATTGATCCACTGGATGCTACAAAGGAGTATACCGAGGGCGGGACCAACCCAGAGCTGCTCAAATACGTTACTGTCATGGTTTGTATTACTGTCAGTGATGAGCCTATTGCCAGTGTTATCCATCAACCATTTGTCAAAGGTAAAACTATCGATAATTACACAATTTACACTCACATATTATGGAAGTATCCTTATTTCAGAAGTTCATTAATACTGCAACTATATGTATATGTACCTGTCCTGATTTTAGAGTTGTCTTTGAAATTATTTTAGAGTGCCCACCCACTAAAGCAGTTTGACTGTATTTTTTGTAGGACAAGCCCTTTTGTCATGGGGCCCTGTATAAACTTGATTTATTATTTTTAATACAATTCAAATCAATACAGGACATTTCTTTCTCTTTCTTTCAGATACTAACGGCAGACAGGGTATCACATATTGGGCCTGGGTTGATCATGGCGTCTCTCCTAACCTCGAAGGAATAAAGTCTTCGCCAAACACTAACACAATACGTGTCATTAGTTCTCGCTCGCATTCAGGGGACGTCATCAAAGTAGCAAACAGTGCTCTATCAGACTCTGGCAACAAAGTCGAACACATTGTAGCAGCTGGAGCTGGTTATAAAACGCTTCAAGTTGCTTTGCAAAAAGCCGATCTTTACCTTCACACGACTCCGATTAAGAAGTGGGACATTTGTGCTGGAGATGCTCTGATCTATACTTTAGATGGAGTCATGACAACCCGTAAAGGACACTTTATAACTTATGACCCTGATGTTGACGCTAAGGTTAATGACGGATTGATTGTGGCGTATACTAAAAACTGGCATTCTTATTTCTTTAGCAAATTTAGAAAATTCCAATAGAACTACGCCAGAAAATCTATAATATTTTTTTCCTCTTAATTAAAGTGAGAGATGAAATGGTATCTTTTATTACAAGTTCTGCTATTAAATAATTATTAATCATTCATGATCTTTCTTTTATAATAATAATTATAATAGTGAATATTATTGTGTCTTTTAAAATTCGATTTCAAATTCAAAGTAAGAGGGATCAAAATTGTGCACGCGGACATAGCCATCCTCCCCACCACTGCTGTAACTATTGGGAAAGAAGAAAAAAAAATAGTAAAACATTGAAATAATTTCAAATCTCTTGAGACAATAAGTCTTGTACTGTACCTCTTCCCATTTGGATGAAACTTGAGCGAGTTTATAGGACCAAAGTGACCTTTGACTCGGCCTATCTCCTCAGCATGAATCAAATGAAAGAACCTAAATTTTTAAAATGTGTGATTACTAATGAATAAAAGAATAATAATTGACTATAATTTACTTTGCTTCAAATTTTCCAGATTTTGTTGTCGTCGTAGTGACTTCCATTGCCTCCTGACCACCTCCTAAAACAACCTGTAAGAGGAAGTAGTTAATTAACTATTAGGTAATGGTTAATTAATGGCTCACATGATCCTTGATTGGAGAGATTGCAGCAGAATTGACTGGTCTATCAGTTCTGAATGTCTTAATAAGACTCAGTTCATCGACATCATATAACTGAAAGAAAAGAGGAATATTAATCTATGAAAATGAGATTGTCCTACCATAGCATTGCAGTCTTTGGACGATGTTATGATCATTGTCTTGTCTTGGCTTAACTGAAGATCAGTAACAGTTCCTCTATGCATGTGTTGTTGCTTAATACACTTATTGTTCTACAGATAAGAAAAATCATTAATTTTTTTCATAAACTTCAAAATAATGTAATTTTCAAAATTTGTAAAAAAAACCAATTTCGATCGGAATGTCTCAAACTTGTCATACAACATAAGAACATGTATACGCATCGGAAAAGATTTTTAAAATTGAGAATTCTCTCCTTTTCAATTTTGGCAAATTTTGGACAAAATCCCTGTACTATAGTACAGGGTGTTGTACTATAATAGTACAGGGTATTTGGCCCAATTTTGGAGCAACTCGAAAAATTCATTAAAAATCCAAATTTGATCGGAATCAGTTCAAACTTTCTACACAACATTAGAGCATGTATATGTATCAGGAAAAATTATAAAAACAAAAAATTCTCTCCTAGCCATTTTCGACAAAATACCATGGGCTATAGTACAGGGTACTTAGTCAAATTTTAAAGAAACTTAAAATCCCCATACTTCCTACTTACTCTATAGTCATAGTGACGAACTTTACCATCAGCATGTCCAGTTATTATAAATTCGTCAAAAGGACCCCAAAGGCCACTACTGACTCTCTCTCCTTCCACTTTTATCCTAGACACCGCCCCCTCGTTTGAACGAGTGTCGTATACAAATATCTCACAGTCTACGTCTTTCCTGTCCTCGGTACTGAACATAAGGAGGTTTCCAAGATGTGAGAAACCACACGAACGAATGGCACTACTTGTATTCCAGGTCTGTATGGCCACGCCCTTTTCGCAATCCCATAGTTTAGCCGTGTCGTCGGCAGCGCCAGTCAGCACTAGGGTGGAGTCAACTATTAAAAATTAATTATTAAGAATAATAATCAATTAATTATGGGTGTGGCTAAATATATTTATTAATTTGGTGGATACGGTTGACGTCAATGCACCAGACTGCACCGTTGTGGCCATTGTATGTGCCAAGCCTTTCTCCATTGTCTGAGTACCAAACTGTCGGCTTGTGGTCTTTGGCTACAGAAAAGAGCAGGTCTCCGTCGTAATTGTACCGTATTTGTGTTATGGCCCTCTCGTGTCCATGGAGCATTAGAGGACGCTAAGGGAAAAGAACAAGAAAATATTTAAAAGATGAAAAATCCTTTTGATTTACCATTGTGAGCACGTGAAAATTAATTATGGGCGGGGTTGAGAGGGGATTGGATAAGCGCGGGGGTGTCATTTGCGCATGCTCCGTTCATACGTGGGCGTTGTGTGTAAAAGGGCGGGGCTGGGCAGGTGATATTAGTACGCATGCGCAGTGTAAAGCCTTGGGAAGTGAACTGACTCCAAGGAGACCGAGGCTTGTCCTTTCTTCCTTCTTCTTGTTTAGTCTTTATCTTCTTCGATCTTCTAACTGGGGGCATCTTTACATATCTCCGCAGTCTCTTCTACCTCAGACCTTATACTTAGTGTATCATTAAAGGCATCTGCGTGGTCTGTTGTACACGCTTTTGCCTCTCTTTGAAGAAAAGGCACCTCGAGCCAACTTGCAAACATTCAGCCACAAAGAGCTCCAAAGCACTTTGGAAGTGATCCCTCATCTCTTGTACGTCACGCAACTTTAATTTTACTCCTTTTATAACCTGTTCTATCTGCTCTCTCCCTTCTTTATTAGGGTTTACACAGTGGTATAATCTGCTGTGAGTTTACAAAGGCTATCTGTCTCTACAGAGACCAGTTAGACGTGAATTTCGAACCAGAGTGGGGAGATATTAGCTAGCACCCCTTGTACTTCCTAGTGCTGTGAGTGTAGCCAAATTCTCATCATGTGTATTTATGATAACTGTAACAAGTTTGTGTGTGTGGTAGTCTCAGTTATAACAACCAGTACCTTTCATTATAAATATGTTTATTTATATTATTGCTTTCGTTTTGGGTACTTTATAATTAATAATTCACACCTTTTAATGTAACCTAGTTTGATTAAATTTCCTTGTTTCCTTTGACGTTTTGCTTTTCCTTTATCCTAGGTTTCCTCCTTTTTTCATTGATTTGATTTTCAAATTCTATTTACCTGTAAATTATATATTTATTCCTCAATACACGATGAGTATCAAGATCAATCCCACTAATGGAAAGACAGTCCCACTTGAGGTTGTACCTCGTGGCACCAGCCTTCATCAATTTGCCTTTATGAAAACCAAATCAACAGACAGAGAAGTAAGAAGAGAAGTAATGGCTGAACTTGAATTCTTTTCCTTGTACTAGGATTATGACGATCCTTTCTATGTGATGGATGTGAAGAGACTGGCTGATCTATACCAGCTGTGGAGAGAATCTCTTCCCTCCATTAAACCATATTACGGTATGCATCTCAGTATAGGATAATATGATTATGTACATGTACTTTATTTAAACTGGGAATTGCCGTGGGTTGATTAGATACCCGCCAACTCTTATAGTATTTTTTGAAATTGTTTTGACTTATTTTTGTTATTCTATGAGTCGTGTAGCTAGGCAGAGCCCGTCATAATAATCGTTGCCTCCTTTTAGCTTTATTCACTGTACATATGTACACCTTAAAATTCATTTCTCTCTCTCTCTCTCTCTCTCTCTCTCTCTCTCTCTCTCTCTCTCCAGCTGTCAAGTGTAATGAAGACCCAGTCTTGCTTTCTTTATTATCTCATCTCGGAACTGGTTTTGATTGCGCCAGTAAAGGCGAGATCAGTCGCCTACTAGAGATGGGAGTTTCACCCGGAGACATCATATTTGCTAATCCTTGCAAGCAGACATCACACATTAAGTAAGTATATGTGTACAAGTTCATATGAAATTATTTAAGTGTGAAGTGTATGTTTTGACCATGCTTATAGCCTTATATTTATCCCTGTTCTCCTTAATCCATTTTAGTGCTTGAATAAACTTGGCATTCTTTGCTATAGTACAATTGTATTTATAATCTGAATTTAATTTTAGTATCTCCCTTTCCTTTTAATAACACATTAGTAAATATTGGTTAATTGATTTAGTAGTGATGATAGCTACATCATTGTTGGCATGATACTCTCACACACACCCACTCACTCTCTTCCCCTCTCTCTCTTTGATAGATATGCAGCAAGGAAGGGAATTTCTCTAGTCACTTTTGACAATGAGATGGAATTACATAAAATGGCCACTCACCACAGCAATGCAAAGTGAGCTAGACCATGGTCATGCATGGTACATGCATTTAGCTTATAATTACATGTAAGCTCAAGTTCTAATTTATGCTTTTTTTTTCTAGGCTAGTGGTACGTATTTGTGCCGATGATCCCACTGCTCGTTGTCAGTTAGGAGTCAAGTTTGGTTGCTCTGTGACTGATGCCTGTAGCATGTTACATGTTGCTAAGCATCTCCAGCTACAAGTCATTGGAGTCAGGTAATAATTACCTTGGTATACACTGTTCTAGTGTATTGGAGGCTGCCAAGTTTTACTGCGTGCGTAGTACAACTGTATCATTATTTTTGTTGGTCTTTTATGACAATGGATTTATAAAGTTCGTAATTTGTGTTTGTTGTGTTCTATTTGGCTGTGATGATAAAATGATTTGCCCTCAATGAGTTCAAATCTGGTGATTACCGTTTCCCTATTATCTGAGCTTTTTAGAACAATTAGGATAATGATTAGACTACCAATATTTATTTTGTGTGACTCTGTGTCATCTCTCTCTATCTCTCTTTCAGCTTCCATGTTGGTAGTGGCTGTCAGACTCCTGATGCTTACAGGGTTGCTTTGGAAATGGCCCACGAAGTTTTTGAATATGCTGTAAGAGAGAGAGACAATATTCATGTACATGTATTACTAATTAGCTTTCTTTCTTCATAGGATACTGTTGGGTATCATTTCAATTTCCTGGACATAGGAGGAGGTTTCCCTGGATCTGATACAGAGCTGGCTCTCTTCCAAGAGGTTGCCAGTACAATCAATCTCAGCATTGGCAGACTGTTCTCTGATAGACATGACCTTAACATCATTGCTGAGCCAGGTCAGTATGTGTATTACACATATGTCATCATTAATATAGTATCATTTGCTTCCCATACCTTTGTGTGTGGTGTGTGATAATATTTTCTGTAAACATGCATTGATCAGCATTATGTTATTTCATTCTCACCTCATTTTAACAATTTTAATTACATTTTTATATCATTTTTTAATTTAAGGTCGCTACTTTGCTTCTTCCTGTTTCTCGCTTGCTGTGCAAGTTACCAGTAAACGTGTCACGTCCTCCTCCCCTTCATCTGAGAATGAATCCTTCATGTATTATGTGAATGATGGGGTCTATGGCTCTTTTAATTGTCTGATATATGATCATGCCATCGTGCAACCTCGAGTGTTGGAGGTATGCCAATTTATGTCCTCTTTTTTAACACTACTTATTTGTGTTGTGTATTTTTATGACTAATTTATTATTTTAGTTGATTACTCTTTTCATGTAATGATAATGCAGTATTAAAATATTTTTTTCTATTTTAGAATTCTACTATCACCAGATCTTCTAATTCTACCTACTCTTGCAGCATTTGGGGTCCGACCTGTGACAGTCTTGATAAGATATGTACTGCTCTCCTTCCAGAGGTCACAGTGGGTGATTGGATCCAGTTTGAAGACATGGGGGCGTATACCATATCTGGCCATTCAAGCTTTAATGGTTTCGTCAAGCCGAAAGTGTTTTATTGTTTAAGGGAAGAAGACAAGTGAGTCTGTTAATGACCTGTGGTATGTTAAGAGCAATATTATTGCCTTGAGTATAATCTGACTTTTTTTACCTCTTGCATTTAAAATATTTATGTTGCATACAGTAACTAGTTGTTGATTAAGTTTTATGATTTATAGGGAAAGCTTTGAGGATGTCTTCATGAACTTGTTGACAAGCAGGGTGGCTGTTTCTCTTCCTTCTCTATGTGAAACTGCAATACAGAATACAGGGAATAGCGTTTTAGCTGTTGTCGCTACTGAACTTAAAGTTACTTGCTAATATTGTCCTCTTCTCCCTCTCTCTTTTTCTTTCTCTACCTTATTATTTAAAAGTTTATTTATTGTTGTTAGAGACTTAAAATTTAATGGAGGGTGTGACCCAAATTATAACAATTTGAATTAAGCAATTTTGGTAGTTGTGTTCGGGACGGAAGGACAGTTAAGATCATACGAGAGTAGCCAGCATCCCTATTAACTTCCAGTGCAGTGTGGTGAGTGCAGCAACAGTTACAGCTAGTTTAGTGCGTGTCTTCTATTGTAATAGTTTTAATAGCTATAAGATCTATTGCTGGATTTGCACATGATTTTAAAATCCGAACTGTTGCTTTGTCTTTTGTTCCCGGTCTTAGTACTGTATAGCTAATCATCTCTCAGTTCCTGAACACTGACAAGTAGCTCAACACAATGAGTAATATTAGGATCAAGTTTAAAAATGAAAAGACAGTCCCACTTGAGGTCATACCTCATAGCACCAGCCTTCATCAATTTGCTTTTATCAAAGCCAATTCAACAGACAGCGATGAGGTATAAAGCCAAGCAACTTTTGTGGTTACTTTATAAATGGAACAGATACAAGATCAAAGTAACCACAGAAGTTGCTAGCTAGCAACATGCTGTTGCGCATGGTACTTATATAAATTCTCTGTGATGGATGGTATAGGATTATGATGATCCTTTCTATTTAATGGATGTGAAGAGACTGGCTGATCGCTACCAGTTATGGAGAGATACTCTTCCCTCCATTAAACCATATTATGGTACATACATTGTGCATTGCATTGTGCTTTGTATTGTGGGTATAGCTCAACATACACTAGGCAACATCTTGCTAGCAAATTTGTGGTTACTTCGATCTTGTAAGCAATGACACGTTGCCAGAAATAGAAGGCTGTTCTATTTCTGGCAACATGTTGCTTACAAGATCAAAGTAAATCATAAATGTTGCTCTAGGAGCTGATGCCTAGTGTATGGGGCCTTAATGAAACAATAAGTAGATTTTATTATTTTGTGCTTGACTAATATTGTCTTATTCTGCAATGATGGAGAGACCATTGTGGTGCCTCTTTTAATTCCCCACTCTCTCTCTCTCTCTCCAGCTGTCAAGTGTAATGAAGACCCAGTCTTGCTTTCTTTATTATCGCATCTTGGAACTGGTTTTGATTGCGCCAGTAAAGGTGAGATCAGTCATCTACTAGAGATGGGTATTTCACCTGGGGACATCATATTTGCTCATCCATGCAAGCAAATATCACACATAAAGTAAGTTTATGTGTAGAGTAGATCTACATGTAAAGCAAATGGTTGAAACTAATAGTTATCAGTAACCACTAAGTTGCTTCAATACAGAGGTCATTGTTAGTATAATAGAGAAATAAATGCCAGCTACGGGTGCAAGCTAGCCTTTGCTTTTTTCAAAATTTGGCTCAGGTTTTAAAATGCTAATAACTCGAAAAATATTCATCAGAAATAGCTCAAAAAATTTGGGGTGATTTGGAGCCATTTTTTTGGAAAAAAACCATGGGCTATAAGGTGGTGAAAAACCTTGTTTGTTGTACACGCATGTCCTTTATGAACTTTGAATTAATTCCTTAGTGCATTAGTAAATACCAGTGCAATTATTGGCATATACTCATTAGGTATGCAGCAAGGAATGGGATTTCTTTAGTCACTTTTGATAATGAGATGGAGTTGCATAAAATGGCTACTCATCACAGCAATGCAAAGTAAGCTGGCTAGACCATAATCATATACATACATGCATGTATGTGGCTTTTATTTTATAATCTTAATTATACAATAATTTTTTCTAGGCTAGTGGTACGTATTTGTGCTGATGATTCTATTGCTCGAGCTCAGCTAGGAGTCAAGTTTGGTCGCTCTGTGGCTGATGCCTGTAGCTTGCTGAATGATGCTAAACGCCTGCAGTTACAAGTCATTGGAGTATGGTAACAAGCATACTATTATGTACTATGTTCATATGTATTGCGAGCTGCCAAAATTTTACTATACAAGGATGTAATACAATTGTATTATTGTTTGATCATCTTTTATAGCAATGGGATTATATTCAAATACTTGAGTTATATTGGTGGTGTATTGATGAACTTAATGTTTTCAAATATTGTGATAATTATCTGCCTCAATTGAAACAGTTTAGACTATTGGTATAATATTTATTTTGTGCTACTATTTATGTGTCGTCTATTTCTGTTTCAGCTTCCATCTTGGTACCAGATGTCAGACTCCTGATGCTTACAGGATTGCTTTGGAAATGGCCCATGAAGTCTTTGAATATGCTGTAAGAGAGAGAAAGAATGTACATGTATTATTAATTAGCTTTCTTTCTTCATAGGATACTGTTGGGTATCATTTCAATTTCCTGGACATAGGAGGAGGTTTCCCTGGATCTGATACAGAGCTGGCTCTCTTCCAAGAGGTTGCCAGTACAATCAATCTCAGTATTGGCAGACTGTTCTCTGATAGACACGACCTTAACATCATTGCTGAGCCAGGTCAGTATGTAACTGTGTATGCACTTTACTTAATCTCATTAACATTTAATGATCAGAATGTCATTTCCCCATGCAATTTTAATTGGATTTCTTATTTCAGGTCGCTACTTTGCTTCTTCCTGTTTCTCACTTGCTGTACAAGTTACCAGTAAACGTCTCCCATCATCTGAGAATGAATCCTTCATGTATTATGTGAATGACGGAGTCTATGGCTCCTTTAATTGTCTGATACATGATCCTGCCAAAGTGCAACCAAAAGTGCTGGAGGTATGCCATCATATTTTGTAGAATGTATATATACAGTGTGGTATTGTTGTTTTTGAGGTTTGGTTGTTTTAAAATTTTAAATTTAAATTCGAATATGTTCATGTATTGTAATAAAAATTTTTAGGGTCCCACTGTCACCAGTTCTTCCAATCCTACCTACTCTTGTGTTATTTGGGGTCCAACCTGTGCCCGTCGTGATAAAGTCTGCACTGCTCTCCTTCCAGAGGTCACAGTGGGCGATTGGATCCAGTTTGAAGACATGGGGGCGTACACCATATCTGGCCATTCAAACTTTAATGGTTTCAGCAGGCCAAAAGTGTTTTATTGTTTAAGAGAAGAAGACAAGTGAGTCTGTTAATGACCTGTGGTGTGTTCATGACTATTTTGAGACCATTTACGCCTTTGTAATGAGCACAATGGGGCTAATTTGATATCCCCCTTTCTGTGTACAATTGGACATGTGTTTGCCTCATGCTCACATGTGCATGTGTTTTGCATGTGACGGTTTTATGGCAAAGGAAATGATAATTTTGTAATGTACAGGCTAACAGTTGTTGATTGGGCTAATTTTGTTTTACTTTCCTTGTCATAGGGAGAGTTTTGAGGATGTTTTCAGGAATATATTGACAAGCAGGTCGAGCCTATCTTCGCCATCTTGATGTAAACTGCTTTGCTGAGAACCTGTTACCTGTCTTAGATGCTATGTTACTTAATTGCTAGTATTATATCCTCTCTTTGTCTCAAACCTCTTTCCCTTCCCTAGCTTTCATTATTTGTTAACGTTAGAATAAAAGAAAATTAATTTATCAAAATAATAAATTTTTGATGAGAATAATAATTATTATAATATTAATGTGTAAATGAGATTTTCATTTTCATGACTAAAAATGAATGTGACATTAAATTTGTAATAATATACTATATAGAGTAGTAATAGTAGTTTATGTACAACATTTTACATCATGTGCGATTGTGCTGTGCATTAACCAATTAACAGATACAGCATGTTCCACAGAAAAGAACAGAGACCATAACAATAAGAAAAGCAATTTTAAAAAGACTGAAGACTGGGCAAATAGAAAAAAACAGCATGTCATGAGATTTGTGCAGTGGGGAAATGAGGATAATTGAATAATTCAAATATTTTGGTACTGTTGAGCAGCTGCCTCTATCATTTTAAGCTGTTTCAGCTTCTCTACCTCTTGCTGCCAGAGTGGCATGCGTTTGTTAGTAGTGTGTCTCTTTATGTGTTTGGATAGGTGATCGCTCCTCATGAACTTCCGACCACAGAGAGGGCAGCCATACTTCTTCTCGCCGGTGTGCGTCCTTTTATGGCGAGCCAACTCGTCCGATCGAGCGAACCGTCTCCCGCAGTCCTCCCAGTTGCAGAGGTAAGGTTTCTCGCCAGTGTGAGTCCTTATGTGAGCTTTCAAATGTGAGCTCTTGTAGTAGGTCTTACTGCAGGATGGATAAGGACACTGATGTGGCTTGATACGACTGTCTCCTTCTGCCATTGCCACTCCTGGCTGGGTCTCTACAGTTGGGGCCACAACTGATGTTGCTAGGACAGGTATGACTGGCATTTTCGAGATAAGCTGTGATATGAATTCTTGATTTGCTTGAGTTAGGACAATCATCTGTCCAGGAGGTAGTAGCTGACCAGTTGGAGTGAATGGTGCGACAACTACTGGTGGAGACTCCTATTAGAAAATATAAAAATATACCATCAATATTATTGTTATAATTTATTTTTATAAAAAATTACTATCACAACATTCTTTCACTTAATTACTCTTTGTTATTATGGAAAAGAGGGACATTCGGGGGTGTGTGCACTGCATTGTAAACATTTTCTCGTACCGGTTTCTCTTTTTGTTCCGCATCAGAGTATACCTCCTCTTCTTCTAGCAGACACTCTTCCTCATTCTGCACTGCGACTATTTCTTCCGTGGGGACCTCAATGGATGATGTGTCTGTCGGGCAGGGAGTCGCAGAGGAAGAGCTGTCGTCCAAAGACGAGGCTGGAGACGGAGGGGTCCATTCTTGCTGTCTCGCTAAACTTAGGAGAGTTTCTACGGCTAGGCTGGTCCTTTGGTCCATGCTAGGTTCCTGAAAAAGACAGACAGAACGAAATAAAAACATTTAATGTTGCATGGTCCTACCTCGCCGCCGCATACAGTATGCAGAACTCCATTGTTCTGAGGAATATTCTGTGTAGCAAGTACAGACATTGTGCTTCTTCTAAGTGGCGCATAAAATGTATAAAAGCCTCTCTTTCTTCTTAGAGGGATTATTTATACTTTCTGCTAAGTTCACATTCTGTACATGTGCTACAGCCGCCTTTAGCATGAGCTCTACACGTGAAGTGGCTACTGCACGAGCTGAGCACGGGCTATGCGTCTGGCTTGCAAAATGATGTAATATTGCACCAGCCCCACCCTGTTACTCCCAGACAACGCCCATTGACTCATGAATAATAATGTGTTAATAGTTAAATGGTGCTTATTTTTTGTTGTAGGTTTTATAAGATAAGGATTAATTTTCCTGCTTTTAACAAAGCAAGAATTATGAGCATAGTGACAGCCTCATCTACTGAAGATTTGCTTGGTGAAAAAGTTGAGCAAGCCACTGCTACGAAAAAGTCAAAAATATTCGATTTTAAAATGTAAGATGAACTAGATTTTTAAATGAATTATTAATGTAATAGGTGGAATAAAAGACACGTTGCATTTAAAGTGCTGTATTTAGGTTGGGATTACAGTGGTCTAGCATTACAAGATACCACAACCGAAACGATTGAAGTATGAATTGATCGATTGCAATAATTATAATAATTATTAATTATAAGGCTAAGTTATTCGATGCATTGCTAAAGACAAAATTAATTGAGGATCCATCACAAAGCAATTATAGTAGGTGTGGACGCACTGATAAAGGAGTATCTGCATTTGGACAAGTAAAGACTAGGAGAGAGAGAGAGTTTGAACTTTTCTTGTAGGTAATTACACTTGATGTGAGAACAGCACTCTTAGAAGGAGAAGGAGTCATTGTACCAGAAGGCAGCAAAGCAATCGAAAGAAAAGGTTTCTTCATTGTGCTAGTAGATACGTGTATCATTAAATGTAAATCTTAGGCGACAAGATTATAGAGCTGCCATACCTTAATATGCTAAATAGAGTTCTTCCTAAAGACATCAAACTGTCAGCTTGGGCACCAGTGCCACCTCAATTCAGTGCAAGGTCCAACAAATACACATCATAATGCTATACTGGGTACTGTAATAGGTTTAACACAATGCATAGGATTTACAAGTATTACTTTCCCATGGGCTCAATGGATATTGAAGTACTGCTTAAAAGCAATGGCATGATTGTAATATAAAGCATTTTTCGTAGCTTATGAGGGAAGGAGCAAGGAAATTTATTGGACATCATGACTTTAGGAATTTCTGCAAAGTAAGTCATGCATTTAAAAAAATCCCCTTATTCAATATATAAGGGGAATATTATATTCCCCTTTTTCAATATATTATTGTTTTATTATAGTATGATACTAATGATCTAGCTACACAATCTATTAAGTTTGATAGGACAATACTAGACATCAAAATAGAGCCTTTGGATCAAAAGTGAGATCCAATGTAATGCACTTTATGCAGTATATATTTACTCCATTTTAAAGTAGCTCTGTTGTATCATCTCATCAGCTATATGCATGCACTGTGACTGGTCTTGCTTTCCTAAGACATCAGATTCGTTGCATGATGTCACTTTTGTTTTTAGTAGGTCACAAGCTAGAGCAACCAAGTGTAAGTATATGTACAGTACACTACTAGCAATACCATGTACCGTATAGAAGGAAATTTTGAAGGGAGTTAAATTTGTGTAGAATTGCTAAATTTTGGTGATTGGCGAATTTATGACCATGTGCCATTGAGCATGTGCATAATAATTTAAAATGGCGGATTTTTATTTTGGCGAATGGCTATCAAAACACCAAGCAAATTCGCCAAATTTAACTACCTCCAAAATTTCCTTCTATACAGTAGCTTCCATTCCTTTTCTGTATGATGTAACATTTAATTGCATAAAAATAAATGTCACAGAGTTGCTTTTCATCTCGTTCACATCTTAAGCTGTAAATGAGATTTCAATACATTAACAGATTATAGATTACATGCTGGATATTAGCCAGTGCCCAGGGAAGCCACAATATGGCATGGCAGCAGGTCAGCTCTCAATCTCATGCTTGTTTCTGTACATCTGATAATAATTTTAAGATTTCCCTCTGGTTCTGCATGACTGCGTTTTCCAAGACATTGAATGGCAATACTTGGACTGTAAGTAACGTGCATAATTCCATTCTCATGTCTTCATAATTTCGTATTAGATTCCTATGTGAATGTAATAAGTGAACTCCAGAAAGCTTGGACCTATCACATGACACAGTTAAAGAGTCATTGACTGATTGTATAATGTCACGTGTTTCATTTATTGCAGGGCTATGATAGTTAAAAGCATGATAGACCAATTGGAAGGCATCGATACTTCTTCTTTTTCTCCTTCTTTGCTCCCTCTCCCTACTAATTATCTCTTTCCTGTTCTTAAGACTGATCATAAATTGGGTAAATCTTACAAGCCGATTAGAAACAGACCAACCTCTGGTTAGGGATAACTATTAATGCATATCTGATGATAGTTATATTGTAGGTTCTTATGAAGAACGCTGTGAGAACTACAAAGCAGCAAAAAAGAGAAAATTGGAAGACGGGAGCAGCTCTGAAAATACTTAAATAATATCATTTCTCACTCATGATTTCTCTCTATCATACAGTATGTGAATGAATTTGTACTATTGTACTTCTTAAAAAGCAATATTTGTTGTAAATTTGAATATTAAACACACAATACAAATGATTAGTGAACGCTACCGTGATCCACCACTTCAACAGTTTCCAGTTCAGGAATAACAGCATACATAAGGAGCTCAAAACAAGAATAAAACAATTGCTTGTTTGCGTTCCGATCCTGAAAAGCCGTAAACATTTTGAGGAAACCCAAATTACAGTTCCTCTGTCCAAGGACGGTTTGCAGTGTGAGTGGTATGCATTTCATGAAATGCTGTTTAGCTTCTTCTTTCGTTAGTTCCTTTTCTGCGTCGCTCCTGTCTTGAGGTGCCTCCCCAATCTCTCCCCCTGGCCACATCGACTCCTGAAATGTCTCTATGTAATACACTAGCATTGGCTCTGAGACCAGCCACTTCATGAGGTCTTGAAGCTCTCCTTCTAACCCACGGCCGAATGTAAGCTGTGCCAAGTCGTATAACTGCTTCCGAAGTATCCGACTCTTTCCTTGGAGCTCAAATACTTCGCTGATGAGCGAGGATACCGAATCAAGGATCGACTCTTCTTTTGTCTCACGGAGTAATAGCCGTGAGGGTTTCTCGTCTTTATGGAGGTCAGCCGAGGCCGGGCTAAGGAAATTAAAAACCTCCTGGCTCTCAATGAGAAACTGATTGTGTAAGACTGTGTTCACGTAGATTTGAAGAGCATGCTTATATTTATCCCAGTACTGCTGGTCTTCGCGTTTCAGGAATGGTATGAAACTCTTTCTCGGAAGAGGAGGGAAGATAAGGTCGGGGCAGATTGGCCGGATTTTAGTGTGAAGCTCTTGAAACTCGCTCAGTCTTCGTCCAAGTACCCACCCGGCAGATTTAGGGACCTCAGGGTTCTCGTGAGTACTGAGAGCTATCACTCCACTGTCCATGTCTTCTTCAATGCTCTCACTACTGCATAAACTGTCATTGACAAACGGAGAGAAACTAGTAACTATACATGTATGTGTGTGTGCATGGAGAGAGAAAAGGGGTAATACATGTCGTATTAATAATTATTAAAAAAGGAAAATCTATAGAAAAGAGTAGATAATATAGGGCTTCTACTCTTGATAGCAACAAGTAATGGTAATCTGCAATTGTTCAACCAATGGTGGCAAATCAATTTTAATTTTGGGAGGCATTCCAATCAAAATTAATCAATTCTTAAAGTTACTCAAAAATTGGGTTAAAGTCCCTGTACATGGTCTTGGGTTAAATCTCGCCAAAAATGAAAAGTGGAGAATTCTTTATTTTCATAATTTTTTCTGATAATATACATGTCCTTATGTTGTGTTAAAGTTTGAGCTCATTCCAATCAAAATTGAATTTTTTTACAAACTTTTGAAGTTGCTTATGACAAAGTATCCTGTACTATATCTATATAGTACAATCAATACATGTACAGTATTTCATCAAAATGGCTAGGAGAAACTTAATTCCCAATATTTTCTCATGCATAATGCAGAAATTTAAAGCTGAATCAAACACTAATTATGTAAAGCCCTTCCCTGTAACACAATGAAGTCACTTACAAGTATTTCTAGACATTGCTTTCCTATTAACAGGTGGTCTATGGACAACCAGAATCATCAGTGGGTCCTTATCGTTCCCTACATCCTCGGCAAGATCAACATTAGAAATCTCAACATTCCACTTCCCTTGCGTACCGAACCACTCCTCTAAAAAAAATATAATGAGTACCTAACAATATGTCTTGATTGCCTTACCAGTGTGTTCAATGTATCTCTGTAATTGTTTGATTTCTTCCTGAATCTCTGTCCGTCCTTTTTCTAGTCTCTTCACACGAGCAGTAGCTGTGTTTTCCTTCACTGCACTAGTCTCAGCTTTATACGAAGCAATGACAGAGTCCTAGACGTACCATACATAGTAAAAGTTAAGATATTGAATAAATGTATAATGTGTGCATTAATTAGAAATCTTGTGTGCATTAATTAGAGTTTTGAGTGCATAAACTAGAGTTTTTGTGTTGCTTCACCTTGTCGGATAATTTTCTTTTTAAAGCCGTGAGTCTCTTTTGATAGACGTTATCATCCAATGCGGATCCACTTATACCTGAGAAACTGTAGAAAATAAGAGCATTAATCTCTTGTACATACAAGTGCCATAAATTAAATAATAACAATTAGAGGCATTTTAAAGGAATTTTTGGGAGAAACCATGGGCATTCACTGTCACTTTCAAACTATTTTATCATAATTTTGCTTGACTTTTTCTACATTAAATACATGATTATAGTCTAAAAATATAGTATTATTATTATTATTATTATTATTATTATTATTATTATTATTATTATTAGGCTCACCTTAGGGCCAGTACTTTGTCTTCGCTCTCTGTCTCTCCTTCCATGAACTCTTTAAAGTCTTCGCTGTATAGGAAAGTCTCGTAATGCTGCTCATGTAGCTCCTGGTGTATCAGTCTCTGAATATTAATGAGTGCTATGAGAGACGGGGAACCAGGAGACGAGGAGTGAGCATGTGCAGAGGAGGAGTGGGACGAGAGAGAGGAGAGAGAGGAATTTGGTGACGAAGGTAGAGAGGACTGAGGGAGTGAGGGGGTAGAGGGGAGGGGAGAGAAAGGAGGAGGAGGTATGGAAGCCTCAATCTCCATTGCTCTCTCTAATTCTTCTAGTAGTTCACTCGGTGGGTAGATAGGGCATTCTGCTCCTAAAGCTAAATACTTAGCATAAATATTCTTTATTGACTGAAGACTGACGGTGCTGCTACCTGGCCCTGTCTTTAATAAGCCTCTAGTTTCTCTCATAAAAGCCAGTCGATTACCGTAGTTACACTTGTTGAGAAAGCGTTCAAAATAATCCAGACACTTCTCACTTTTCATGATGGTCTCAAACGGAATAGGGCGTGGGAAATCGGGTTTGACCTGCTCCGTTTCGACCTGGTCTTGCTGATAGTCTTCACCGCCCAGAGCTCTGATTCGTCTCTCACAGGCTCCTTTGGCAGTCGTTAATTGTGTTATGTACAATCTGAGATCTCTCTCCATTAGGGACTTTGCTTTATCGGCCGAGACGGCAACAGGAAGACTTGAAACCCTCAGACCAGTCGAACTAGCTTCTTTCATACGCTGCACGGCTTTAGCCTAGAGTAAAATAATTAATTATTTGCAATGTCATTATTAGCCTCTCCTTTCTTTATCTAACCTGCATTATATCGGTGATGATTGATGATCTGATGTGAGTCAGCTCATTGATGTCATCGCATTTCTTGATATGCTGCATAAAATCTTCGTACGTCTCCGAATGTGCATAACGTTTTTGGGAGACTTTCGTGAGTTCTTCCCTCTGTACAAGATAGCGTAGGAGTTTCTGGTTGATGTAGTCGGGTTCACAAATCCTCTCAATCATTGGATGGACTATATTACATACGAGGAATTCGCGAATAATTATTCTAATTGGAGTGCACTCTAGGTACTCCCGATCGAGACACACACATAAAAGGACGTCGATGGCTTTTCGAAGAAACTCTATCTCTTTCTCTTCGTTTTCAAGATAAGGAAATGAGCGAAGGTTAGGGAAACTACGAGCACTGGCAGAGCCTGGCCTAGCCCCACTCCCTGATCCAGAGAAACCACGAAACGAGAGAAAGTGTTGCCGTAGTACTTCTATAGAGTCGTGAGATATCAGCTTCAGGGTGTCAACTTGAGAAATACGCTTGAGTAGAACTTGAAGAACCTTCCAGACCTCAGGGGTAAGGCTGTTGAAGAACTTTTTCTCATTTGGCGCAACGATCGAATAAAATGGTCGCACGTGGTGTAGTAGGACTAGATCTATGACACGGTGTATCCGATCATCGATATTAGCAGAGACGAGTGTGGGTAGAAGTGTTTTAGGTGGGTATACTTTAAGGTGGTAGAGGAAAGGGTGTGGAATGGGTTTAGGAGGGCGGGGTTGAGTTTCTGATCTTCTAAGCTCATAGCTCCCTTTAAACAAAGCCAGAGAGCCGCCAAAAATTATAGAGAGAAGAAGAAATAGGGGAAATAGTAGCCACGGAGTGTAGAGGTAGTATAAAGAGAACAGGAGGGCCAGAAACAGGAAAATAAAATGATACTTGACCGCCATCTTTTTGCCATGCCCAGCAGCGCAGCCCCGCCTTTTAGAGGTGTGGCTGATTAATCTGCAATCTCAAATTTTCTTTCCGTTTGTTTAATTAGAAACCCAAACACGTGGGAGGGCTTACAAATTACAGGTCTCTGGTCTCATTGCTTTCATTTAAAAATGTACTTCACTTGCCTTCTCTAACCTATCTCCCCCCCCTCTATCCTCTCCTTCTCTTCTAGTTAGTTATGGCCGATACGGTGAACTGGGCTGAAGCAGTTGACCAACAGGAACAGGTTACCAGTGGTGTAGCTGGTTTAAACGTGTCCCCAGCTGATCCAGGGGACGTCGAGACTAGCAAAGCCGAGGCATCTCTCCTCACTAAGATCCTACGAACGAAACTCGTCGATAATTCAAATGATGTAGAGGTTCAGCAGAATGATCCGACCTCTCCACTTTATTCTGCTCGCTCCTTTGAAGAACTTAATCTGTATGTTAGGTTCCGTTATTATATATATTATAATTATTGTTACTAAATATAGTATAATTGTGACAATAATAGTAATATGCATGTAGTTCTAAAAATAGAATTTTGAGCCCCCTAAATATAGTTTAATTGTGATGTAATATTAATTAATATTGATACTAAAAATAGAATTATAAATCCTCTATCTTTCTTTTTTTCCCTCAGTCATCCTAATCTTCTAAAAGGTATCTACAGTATGAAATTCAACAAACCGTCAAAGATACAGGAGAAAGCATTGCCACTTTTATTAGCCGACCCGTAAGCTTTTCAATGTTACTAGCAACATAAATATATTTCTCTTTTAGTCCTCAGAATTTAATTGCTCAAAGTCAAAGTGGAACTGGTAAGACAGCTGCTTTTGTCTTGGCAATGTTGACGAGAGTTGACACTTCAAAACCTTACCCTCAAGTAACTACCACATCTCATTGTATATGACTGTATTCTCGGTTCTTCATTCTGTGTGTTAGATTCTTTGCTTGTCTCCTACGTTTGATCTGGCCCAGCAAACTGGTAAGGTTTTACAGCAAATGGCCCAATATTCTCCTGAAATTAAAATGACTTATGCTGTAAGAGGATCAAGAAGTGAGTGATATATAATGTGTTTTCTATTTAATGCCTCTTTTATATAACTCTATTTAACGCCCAGCTTTTCAACGTGGTCAAAATGACAAAGTAACCGAGCACATATTAATTGGTACTGCCGGGACTGTGCTTGATTGGGCTGTCAAGTTTCGGGTTTTTGATCCCAAACTGATCAACATGTTCGTACTCGATGAAGCTGACGTGATGATTGATACTCAAGGACAACAAGACCAAACTATTAGACTCCACAAGTGAGGAGAGAGAGAGAGGGAAGGAGGAGGGAGAGAGAGAGGGAAGAAAGAGGAGGGAGAGAGAGAGGGAAGAAGGAGGAGGGAGAGAGAGAGGGAAGGAGGAGGGAGAGAGAGAGGGAAGGAGGAGGGAGAGAGAGAGAGGGAAGGAGGAGGGAGAGAGAGAGAGGGAAGGAGGAGGGAGAGAGAGAGAGAGAGAGCTTGAGAAGGTGAAAAGGAAAATACACTAGGCAACATCTGGCAACATGTTGCTTACAAGATCAAAGTAACCACAAATGTTGCCAACAACATGTTGCCTAGAGTATGTTGGGCTTTATTCTTCCATTAAAAAAAATCTATTTATTTTTGTATCTTATTATTACTAGACAACTAAGGAGAGATTGTCAACATGTCTTATTCAGTGCGACCTACAACGAGGAAGTTATGACTTTTGCAAAGAAAAGTATGCTACAAGGAATTTGTTTTATTTTATTATTATCAACCACCTCCCTCTCCATTTTATTCTATAGTTATTTCAGAGCCTAATATAATTCATTTGAAGCGATCGGAGGAAAGCCTCGATAATATAAAGCAGTATTATGTTTGGTGCTCAGCTGCTGGTGATGAGGGAAAATTTGCCGCCTTAACTAACCTCTATGGAGTCCTAACCATTGGCCAATGCATTGTATTCTGTCATGTTAGTGAAGAGATAGAGAGTGGGACGAAATGAGTTTTTGTTTTTATGTAGACAAGAAAATCGGCAGCTTGGCTTGCAGGAAAAATGAACAAAGAGGGACACGCTGTGGCTCTGTTGACAGGCCAGTCAACTGTTGAGCAAAGAATTGCTGTTTTAGACAGGTACAGAATAACCTCATCAGGGCTTCATTTAGGGGGGGTGGAGGGGGGGCACTGCCCCCCCCCCTTGGAGAACGTTTGACTCCCTTGATTGACTTATTAACAGGAAAAATTTCATTACCCCAGCAGTACATTGTATAAGTGTTGTGACCACACATTTTTGCATGCACAATAGAAATTATTAGCAACCCTCCCCCTTCTTTGAAATATTTTAAATCCTGCCCCTTATATTAAACCCTAGATGAAGGCATGCTCATCTACATTCTATGATTCTATCTTTTATCATTTTTCTGTTTCTTTCGACAGATTCAGAGAAGGCAAAGAGAGGCTACTGATTACGACTAATCTCTGCGCTAGAGGAATCGACATTGATCAGGTAAATGTAAAGCATAAAAATCTATTTTCAATTGTCATTGTTATGTAGGTCACGTTAGTAGTGAATTATGATATTCCGATGGATGTCCATCACAAGCCCGACTGCGAGACTTATCTACATAGAATTGGTAGGACTGGAAGATTTGGGAAATCTGGTCTAGCCGTTAATTTTGTCGATGGGAGGAAATCCTATGATAGCCTGATGTTCATACAGAACCACTTCAAGAGGGAAATTCAAAAGCTTGATGCTGACGATCCTGACGAGATTGAAAAGCTACAGAAATGAGAATTGAAAGACAACCAATTATTAGCTTCTTATTATTTTCTGTCTTTATTTCTATGCACGCATTTGACAATTAATAACACAGGCACACGTGGTCTACCCTACACGATCCTTCACTCTTTCTCTTGTTATTGTACCTTTCCCAAGTTTTTTTTTAAAGTATGCGGGAAGTATACGGAAAGCACGTGGTGGCGCATGGCACATTTTGTGACCCCACCCATTAATTAAGTTTAAAATGGCGGACGCAGATCCTATTTCTCAAGATGACGAATTATACCTGCCTAGAAGTAATTTGGCGTACACTACAAGTCCTTAATTATTTGTATATCTTTAGCTGTAGTTAATAAGCTCATTAAAGAAATGGTGCCGCACATACGGGTTAGTACAGATGCCAGAGATCTCATTCTAAACTGTTGTAGTGGTAAGGGACTGGGTTTTATTTCTAGAAGGAAAATTTTGCAAATAATTTGATTGTATTAGGGCAATTTCAGTCACGATCATACCGTAGGGTGCCTTTTTTCGAGGGCTGTAGGTTTCATGAATTTTTATTTTTCGGGTTTAATTTTCGCAAATTTATGCATTCTGCCATCTTGTACCATATTAATTTGATTTTCGCGGAAGTAATTTTCACGAATTTTAAAGAAATCTACAAAATTTACAGCCCTCAAAAAAAGGCGCCCTACGGTACTTGTAAAAATAAGATACAATTTTTAATGCTATTTTTAGAATTCATACATTTGCTGGCGTCTGAAGCTAACGAGGTTTCTGAGAAACAGCAAAAGAAGGTGATATCACCTGAACATGTCATAGAGGCCCTCACTACACTGGGTTTCAATGAGTACATACCTGACGTAAAGGAGGTGCTGAAGGAATACAAGGAACAGGCTAATGTGAGTTAGAAATTTTCAACTATAGAGGTACATGTATATAATGGGTAATTTCGGAGCCATTTTTTGAAAAAACCATAGCCTGGGGTACCATTCATAATTTGGTATTTTCTTAAAATGGCTGTAACTTGAAAATTGAAGTCAGAATCAGCTCAAAATTGCTACACAGCATAAAGACATCAATATGTATCAGAAAATATAATAAAAATTTGGGGGTGATTTTGGAACCATTTTTTGGAAAAAAACCATGGGCTATAGCCTTGGGTATTTTTCAAAATTTTGGCATTTTAAAAAAATGGCTGTAACTCGAAAAATTGAAGTTGGAATCAGCTCAAAATTGCTACACAGCATAAGGACATCAATATGTATCAGAAAATGTAATAAAAGTTTGGGGTGATTTTGGAGCCATTTTTTTGAAAAAACCATGGGCTATAGCCTTTGGTATTTTTCTAAATTTTGGCATTTTCTTAAAATGGCTGTAACTTGAAAAATTGAAGTCAGAATCAGGTCAAAATTGCTACACAGCATAAGGACATCAATATGTATTAGAAAATATAATAAAAATTTGGGGTGATTTTGGAGCCGATTTTTCAAAAAAACCATGGGCTATAGCCTTGGGCATTTTTCAAAATTTTGGTATTTTCTTAAAATGGCTGTAACTTGAAAAATTGAAATCGGAAACAGCTCAAACTTTCTACATAGCATAAGGACATCAATATGTATCAGAAAATGTGATAAAATTCAGGTTGATTTTGGAGTCATTTTTTGGAAAAAAAACCATGGGCTATAGTTTCTGAAAATTTGTTTAAAAATAAGACTAGTACATACATGTACATTGTGTATTTCAATGGAACAGCTATTAAAAATAAGCAGTCACATTTATGTACATGTAGCTTGATTTTTGCATAAATTTTAAAAGTATTTAATGATATTTTAGAAACACAGGCAGAGAGGTAAGAAATCTAGATTGGACAAGTTAGGCGTCCCTGAAGAAGAGCTGCTGAGACAGCAACAGGAACTATTTGAGCAAGCAAGATTAGAAGTAACAGAGGCACAATAAACTCCATTTTTATTTTGAACCACTTGTTACTATTTTTAGAATGAGTTATACGAGCAGCAGCAGGCACTATTGCAGGATACGATGGCTGGAGGAGTAGCACCAGCTCTCCCCCAACAACAACAACAACAACAACAACAAGGACAATAAACATACTTCACTCGCAGACAAACATCTATTGATCACTATCCATTGTTTGATAATTATGATAAATTATACAATAATAATAGTATAATTGCCAGTGCTACCAGCTAGCTGTTAATCAACCAATTTATTTGATATATAAAGGATTGAAGTAAAACATTAATGTATAAAAAATAAATATACTAAAAGTAACAAGCTTTTAATTATCACCTTTAGCTACCGCCCACACAACCACATTCATAATGGCTGTTCGCCTAGTGAGGAGTGTTGTATTAGTTGGTTCTGTTCTTCTTCTCTTTTTGTTTTTATTGTACAGCGTGGCAGGAGTATTGTCTAATAGAACGAGGAATAGGTAAGCATTTATCTAGATCCAAGTCTATCTACAATATGAATTACAATTGACATTGTATTGTAAATCAGGGCTGCACACTGTACAAAGTTGATGGGAACCGTATTTATGTATTAGCAATTTCATTAAGAAAATAGATTATATATAACTCTCCATTTAATTTATATACAGTGTATCGTTAAAGTTTCCAACCAGTATCGGTGATATAAAGGATCTCATTAATGATGCACTAACACTCAAAAACGATGAGCTGTATCTAGTGATGGTTCTATACTCCTTGGCATATCTATTCAAGCAATGTTTTAGCATACCTGGCTCATCTCTCCTCGTCAGTGATTTTAAAAGAAATTATTGCATATATTTTTTATTTTCTTTGCGTGCTTAGAATTTATTTGCTGGAGCAGTTTTTGGCTTGTGGATTGGATTTCCTCTTGTTTGTGTCTTGTCAGCCTCAGGGGCTTCATTGTGTTTCCTGTTATCAAAACTTGCTGGAGAGGAATTAGTAAAAATGTGTCTGAAGGAGAGACTAACCAGTCTATCAACTAAAGTGAGAAAAATGAGAGAGAGGGGGAGGAGGAGAAAGTGATTAATGATTTGTATTTTCCTAAAGGTCAAAGGTCAGTCGGGATTCGGTGAGTTTCTCATGCTTTTGTCTCTAAGGCTCTTCCCTGCTACACCAAACTGGCTGCTCAATCTCTCCCTGCCTCATCTTGGAGTTCACTCGGGAAAATTCTTTCTCTCTGTCTTCTTTGGTAAGAAAAGAAATGGAGAAAGAGAGAGATTGGGAATGTCATAATAAAATACATGTAAATTATATATAATAAAAATACATGTACATGTACATGTATACATCACTGCAGGTTTGATGCCGTATAACTTTCTCTGTGTTCAAGCTGGTCTCATACTGAGGGTATCCACAAGTGTCGATGATGTCATGGATTACAAGATCTTTGCAATTTTAACTATCTCATCTTTCAGTCTCCTCGCAGCTACTTTCGGAATGAGAAAATTAAAAAAGTCATAAATCATATTTATTACAGTCATAAATATTATTAACACAAAGAATATTAAACATCCAAATAATAATAATAATAATAATAACAATAATAATAATAATAATAAAGATATAATTAAAGTTTTTATGATACAAATAGGGAGGGGGCGGGGTCAGCAGTGAGCCGAGACTCCGTTAGGTAAAGGCGGTGGCCATTGTCTGTCGCTCTTTATTTCAAGAAGGAGGTGCTTGTAAAGGTTCTTGGGCTTTCGCTTACAGCGAACAAACCGAAAGACCTTGTGGATAAAACTACTAGACAATAAGTATCCCTGGTGGAAAAATAGAGGCAAAATAAAGCTTGTGATCAAAAAATTCTTTTAAAATACTAAATAGCGTACAGTGGGTGATTTTTTAAAATTTACCATTTAAAGATTTTGCACAATAGTTTTTGCAATTTTGCGATTAGTGAAAAGAAGGCAAAAAATTTTAAGTGTAATAGTACATGCATGTACATGTTAGTCAAGGACCCAAGGCAATGTACATGTACATGTATACAGTGTACATGTATTTAAATAATTAAAGGAGAAATAATGAAGGAGTAAATGGATGTCATTACTTCAATGAGATAAGCTAATAAAAGATGAATACCAGCACTCATAACCAGAGTCAATCTGAAGAGAAAATGTGGAACGGGCTCTAATTGGAAAAATTTCCAAAACTAAAAATATAATGAAAAATAAAAATCGATTTGTGAGCTCAACGTACCCATGGCAACCAGGTAGGCGGAGCCAAAGCAATGTAGAGACAGGCAGGGATAAGAACGGCAAGAGATAACATAAATAGAACTAAAAATAGTAACAGGAATAATGACGTCACTAATCACAATAATATTAATAGTTACCATTAGTATAAATTGGTTTTCTATAGGGAGCGGCTGTGCTAAAAGCTATCACCAACACAATGTATTGGAATATGGAGGCAGTGAAGATGACAGTGTTCTCAGGGCAGGATATATTCTCACCATCAGGATCAGGAACAAATGGGACATACCTATAAGAAGAGAGGGAGAGGGAAAACATAATTACTTGGTTTTTTCCAAAAAAATGGTTCCGAAATCACCCCAAATTTTTATTACATTTTCTTATACACATTGATGTACTTATGCTGTATAGCAAGTTTGAGCTGTTTCTGACAAATATTTTTTGAGTTATTAGCATTTTTAAAAATGGGCTAAACTTTGAAAAAAAGCAAAGGCTATAGCCCATGGTTTTTTCCAAAAAATGGCTCCGAAATCACCCCAAATTTTTATTACATTTTCTTATACATATTGATGTACTTATGCTGTGTAGCAAGTTTGAGCTGTTTCCGACAAATATTTTTTGAGTTATGAGCATTTTAAAAAACGAGCCAATTTTTGAAAAATACCCAAGGCTATAGCCCATGGTTTTTTCCAAAAAATGGCTCCAAAATCACCCCAAATTTTTATTATATTTTCTTATACATATTGATGTCCTTATGCTATGTAGCAAGTTCCGACAAATATTTTTTGAGTTATGAGCATTTTTTAAAAATGAGCCAATTTTTGAAAAATACCCAAGGCTATAGCCCATGGTTTTTTCAAAAATGGCTCCAAAATCACCCCCAATTTTTATTACATTTTCTGATACATATTGATGTCCTTATGCTGTGTAGCAAGTTTGAGCTGTTTCCGACAAATATTTTTTTAGTTATGAGCATTTTAAAAAATGAGCCAATTTTTAAAAAATACCCAAGGCTATAAGCCCATGGTTTTTTCGAAAAAATGGCTCCAAAATCACCCCAAATTTTTATTACATTTTCTTATACATATTGATGTACTTATGCTGTGTAGCAAGTTTGAGCTGTTTCCAACAAATATTTTAAAAGTTATTAGCACTATAATGTACAGTACATGTATGTGTGTACAGTGCATACCAAGGCTCTGATTTAAGATAGTAATACATTGCTAGCTGTCCTAATATCATGAGGCCAGTCTGTATCAATATGGAAGAGAACACATGTATACCAGCCAGTGTTCCTAATGGCCTCCTCTTCACTATTCGAGAATAAGGGCCAGTCAAACCCACTGGAAGAAAGAAAGAAGACAGATTCAAACTGTTACAAAATGAATAAAAATGTCAACTTACTGACAAACGCAAAACTTAATATTAAAACAAGGTCGACGTATAGATATTGAATATCGCCTAGGTTAGACTCCATCTGGAAGACAGGGAGAAATATTGTCAGTAAAAGTCAGTAAATATTGTCAGTAAAAGTCAGTAAATATTGTCAGTAAAAGTCAGTAAATGAGTCAGTAAAAGTCAGTAAATAAAAGAAGATACTAACAGAGTAAAGAATGGCAACAGAAGTGAACTCAGTCAGGCTGTACAGTGCCATGAACTTAAACACACTAAAACTAGTCACTAAAGCAGCTCTACCCTCTCTGGGAAAGAGAAAGAAATTTTATTATTATTATTATTATTATTATTATTATTATTACTTGATAGCTGCCGGCACACAAGTGATGTTTGGTATATTTGAAGTGAAAGGACTAGCCACACTAGCCTCAGTATCTGAGAGAGATATACCAACATGAGCTGCTTTTAATGCCTACACAAAAACACAGTCATCATACTAACTGTTACTTGTAAAAAATATACTCACTCCACAGTCATTGGCACCATCACCACACATTGCAACGCCATAGCTAGAAGGGTATGGTAATGTTAGTCACAGGGACTATAGTTAGGCTCACCCCAGTGTCATTAGATCAGTTACTAGCTGCTTCTTGTTTAGTGGAGACATTCTTGCAAATATTGTCCCAGAAACCAACAACTGGAAAAAATAATTAATACCATGAACTACATGTACATTACAGTTCACTATATTCAGTTACATTTAAACTGTTTGTATCAGTGTGAAATAACAAAGAATACAACAAACAAATAATTAATAGTTACAACAAAAAATACATGTGCTATTTCTTGAACTATTCATAGCACATAGAATCACTCACTCTTGAATATTCTTTGGGAAATTGCTCACGAACGATATTGAAATTACGACCATCAATAGCAACATGAAAATATTGAGTAACTCCTGCTCCTCCTCCTCCTCCTGGATGGTTCAACTCATCCAGTCTAACACCATTCTGGATACTGAACTTGTTATTAGATACTAGACAAAAATAATAATTTCAAATAATAATTAACTTTACTTACAATAAGATGAAGTGCTGGAACAAAGTTTTGAAAGGTTGACACTTTTATCTTCAAAAAGTTGATACTGAAGTCTAGGAGACCTCTCACTGTTGATGGGCGTAGCTTTAAGCACGATAACGTGATGTTCCTTGGCAACCATACCACTGTTCCTGGATACGGCGATCGCAGTCAGCAAATTATCACCTGTAAAATGTACATGTATATATAAAAATAAAAATAATAAAAATAATAATAATAATAATTATTATTATTATTAATATTGCAATAGAATTTACCTGTTACCATTACGGTCCTAATGGCCGAGTTTCTCAGCATCATTAAAGTGGGCGGAGTTTGCTCTTTGAGTCGATTCTCAAACACAATCAGACCACAAAAGTTTAGGTCGCATTCGACATCATCCCTAAACAACAAAAACAGAAATATTTAAAAAAATAATAATAAATAAAAAATGATTAAAGGTAGCGTATAACACAAAATTTTTTGAGGGCTATGAATTTTGCAGATTTCTCAATTCTTAAAGATTCGCAAAAATTACATGTACTTCTGCGAAAATTAAATTATTACGGTACAAGATGGCAGACAGCATAAATTTGCAAAAACTAAATCTGCAAAATAGATTTATAGGTAAATCCGAAAAATTTATAGCCTTCAAAAATTTTGCGTTATTTATTTATAATTTTTTTTAAATAAAATAAATTAAGTACACACCTCTCCAGTCTCATTGCTTGATGAAAGTCTTTCCTAATGTCTCTATAAGCCATCGCTAGTACACGGTATCCTTTACTAGTCAAGGAACCAAGAACCATATCAAAGTCCTTGGGGATACTCTCAGGCTGGGAGAGTTTCTTAATCATCTCCGGAGCTCCTTTAGTGAAAACCTTCAGGTTCCTTGCATTATCCGATGGTAATTTACGAACTATTACACTCATACGCTGGACAAGAAGATAGAAAAAATAAATAAAATAAAAAAATATAATAATAATAATTATTAATAATAATCCATGGTATCTATACCGTATAGGGGTTATATTTTACTGAAAATTAATTTCGCTAATTTCGCGTATTCATTAAATTCTACAAAAAGGGAGTGCCGCACTAGAAAAAATGGCTGCAGAAGGTAAGATTCGCAAAAATTTATACCAACAAATGACAAATCTGAACAAATTTGCAAATACCAACAAAATAAAACCACTATATGGTATTCTAACTTGTAGTTCTGATGAAAAAGTGAATTGTTTGAGTATTCCGAGTTCAATGTCAGTCGAAACGTAGTCAAGAGATGAATAGGAAGAGGTGGGGCTAGTGGGTGTGGTTTGATGAGGACGTACCATCGGAAACCTCAACGTGTCAAATCGAGCAATGCCTTCACCAGGTTCTTCCAAAAACTAAATTAAAAAATATATATATATACATGTATATATATATATAATATAAAAAATAAAATATAATAAAAATATAAAATAAAAATTTTTGCACTCTAATTACATGTACATGTGCAATGTAAATACATGTACATGTAGTAAAATTAAAGAAATAATTGCTATTCAAAAAGTATTTTCAGTAACTACATGTACAGTACATGTAAATGTAAATGAGTATAATTTTTGGGTACTACTAGCATATTATTAATGACTGACCCATCTAGTTGATTGGAACATCTTCAGGTCGAGTGGATCACCAGTCAGTTCTCCATTGATACGAGTTAGTGAATGACATGTAGCCATACCTTGAAGGAAGGGGGAGGAGTGAGGGACTTGATGAATATCATCAAGTAAATCCTGCAACCTGAGTTGAAGAAAGAAATGAAGTAACTTTAAATATTAAATTTTGATTGGAATCATCTTAAACTTTCTACACAAAATAAGAACATGCATATGTATCAGGAAAAATTACTAAAAAGGAGCATTCTCTCATTTTCAATTTTGGTGAAATTTGGCTTGAATCATGTACTATAGTACAGGGACTTTGGCCTAATTTTTGAGCAACTTTAAAAATTTATAAAAAATCTAAATTTAATTAAAATCAGCTCAAACTTTGCACACAACATAAAAACTTATATTTTACTTGTAGTTGGAGGCAGGTTGCACTCCTAGCAGGTCTAAAGACTCCTCTGTGAGTGTACCAGTTTTATCAAAACAAACCAGCTTCACTTTACCACACAAATTAACTCTAAAAATAAAATTAAAGTAATTAAAAATAATAGTAATAATACACTTCTTTTCTCTCTCTTTACCTCTGTGGGCTGATACAGTATATCTTGTTTTTCTTGAGTCTATTGACAGCATACACTGTTCCTATGGTGATGGCAGCTGGTAAAGATGGAGGTACTATTGTAGTGATGATGTCAAAGGCTCGGAATATGGTCTCAGATACTTCGTACTAAATAATAAAATAATAATAATAACTAATAATAATTTAATATTATCATTCTCTTTTAATTATTGTAATTATAATATTCGATTGTCACAAAATCCGTGACAAGCAAAAACTCATTTATAAATTTGTCACTTATTATAATAAAATATAATATAAATGATCTTGTCTCACTCTCTCTCTCTCTTTCTCTTACCCTTGGTTTCCTAAGCTGCAGTACCAGTACAGTATACACAAAACCAATCCCAGCCAGTATTGACAATAGCAATATAAACTTTATTGAGTCCCAGTAAAACTTGATGTTGAGAGGCTTCGGATAGAGTATCGATCGTACCATACCTCCCTTTGCCGTGAGAAACCCTGTTCTTACTACCAGTGCTAATATAAGCTGTCCACTGTAGTACCTTGCCTGAACTACATGAGTACCAGCAAAAAGGGTGTGCATTTTGTGCGTAGTTGGAGAGTATGGTTTAGGATCTGACGGAAGAGCTGTCTTTGTGACTGGAACACTTTCACCTTTCAAGAAAGAATGAGAATACCAATGCTACATAATTACAGTTAAAATTTTTCTACACGGCATACACATGTGTACATGCATACATCAGAAACACATGGGCCAGTATATACAGTACCGTACTGATTTTAAACTCATAACTGAATTGAAATCAAAATTATTATCATCATCATTATTAATAGACAAATGTAAAACATTAAAGGGGCGAGTGTAAGCAAGCAAAGCAATGTCCATATAATAGATCTTGACAGACTAACAATACTAATGCATTACTAAATTAAAATCAAAATCATCACAACTATTATCACTATTATTATTATTATTCATTATAATCATACCGGTAAGCATAGCTTCATTAACTATAGCACTCCCAGTTAGCAGAACTGCATCACAAGTTAATCTCATTCCTTCTGGTGGAACAACCATGATATCTCCTGGAACAAGATCCTCACTTGAAACATCATGACATCTCTAGAAAAGGAAATTTAAGAAAAAGTTTTCTAAATCTTAGATTAAAAGTTGTCAAACCTGATTGTCTCGTACGACGGTGACACGCCCGCTAGTCTTCACCATATCGTGGAGTCGCTGCATGTGACGCCTCGTCTGAATCAAACTGATTAACATTGACACAATGAATATTATTAAAACAGCACCAGCATAATAGAAATAGCTATCGGCCATCCAAAATATAACACTAAGAATCTGGAGAGAGAGAGAGAGAGAAACAGTAACAGAAACAGAATAATAATGATATTAACAAATGAGATACAATCACAAAACAGAACTATAAAATTTCTCCCAAACTCTCCATTTACCTGGAATATGTAAAAAGGGTGGAGTACCTCTTCAATGAACAATGAATGGTAAGGCTTGACAGGGACTTCTATGCTGTTAGACCCATACATGCTCAACCTTCTCTCGTGTTCTAACCTACTCAAACCATTACCGTGACGATAAGCCTCACAACAGGTCATACCACTCTCAAGCCCCCTACACGAGAAAAATTAAAAATAATAATGATGATGATAATAATAATAATAATAATAATAATAATAGTAGTACCTATACTACACTACACCCATGAAAGAACATAAACCCACAGGTACAAATAAACTGCTTTGTATGTAGTACTTAAGTACATGTACCAATGCACTTGGCCTATACCAACCTCAATACAGTGTATTTCTCTTCAACTCTATCATACAAGTACCGGAGGTGACGGTGCAATATATATGGAGTGATGGTAGAGGAAGTCGTAAGGAGAGGAGAGAGTTCACTCTCGTTGTCTTCTCCATTTATTAATGTCCCGTTTTCTTCATTGAGAGACAAGGAAGGAGTCGAGCAATTAGACTGGGAGGGAATCCTAGAGATTTTACGAACTACTTCCACTTTCCATTTCAAATCAAGATCCTGCAATGTATAGTAAAAGTACAAGCAAACACTTGCAATGTGAATAATGACAGCATTAGTCTATCATCATGAATAATATTAATGCATTGAAGTGATACAATGGAAGCATCATGAATAGCAAAATTTGGCAGATATAGCACTTTAATTCCTACTACATACATACCTGCACTAATACAAATTGAGCTCTTTCCAAATCACACTTGTAACACGTTAGTCTGAGCCATGCGTGCGGATACCAGTAAGCAAACAGTAGGCCAATACCAGCTGGGAGTATTGCTAATGGATAAAATAAGAAGCATCTCCACAAACTGATCCTATATCCATGTTGTAACTATATAAATAGATAGAAAGAGAGAGGGAATACTGACAAATATGTGAGTGTTTGTTAAATCAAGACAGACAAATCATTATGCACCCAGAATGAGTAAGGATCTGCACTACTGTAACTCTAGTCATATGACAGCATGGTCACATGCTTACTGGGCATGGATCAATCTCTTCTTCTTTAAGACTGTTATTCTCATCTTTGATGGCACTAATGTTTCCTCCTACATGGGATACAAATATTAAAAAGATAAGGCATTCATTTACCCCCCGAGGCCATTATAAGGACAGGTTTGAAGATTGGTAAAGAGAGGTCATCGGGTCATGGCTGCCATCTTGAGGATCTACTTTTTGTCTTGAACCAATAAATTTGATCAACAAATCTAATTTATAAATATTTATAGCAAAGAAACCACACCCACCACTCAGCTTTCACCTATCATGAAATGTAAAGGAATTTCTATTGCTTTTCTCTTCTCTTTTATTGCACTTCTGGTAACCTTTTGTACTCTGTTTTTTAATGATTCCAAAGACACTGTCCTACTCCTGCCTTATCATCAACAAAATGTACTCAGAATTCGTCAGAGGAACAATGAAAAACATCCTCCTGACTTTCAAAGCAACTCTGACTCCATGGAAAGCAAAGATCCAGATCCAATAGACTACCTGACAGTGGTAACTGGTATATCATCAAATCATTACAGTGAATCCCTGGATATGATTGGAACTGTGCACTATTATCTACCAAACTCAGATCTACTGATTTATGATCTTGGCCTCAAGCATTATCAAGTAAAAGTACTACAAAAGCTAAGGAACACATATGTCATACTGTACAATTATTCACGTTATCCTCAATATGATAACAACGTGCCTGTTTTTATGGGTTGCTATACTTGGAAAGTTCACATACTCCACGAAATAAAAAGAGAGCACCAAGAACTACGCAGTAAATGGAACAGTAGATCCAACCAACTGTTTTTATGGCTAGATGCAAGTTCACGGATTGTAAAGCCAATGGACTCTTGCATAAAGACTCTGAAATCATTTCCATTGGTGTCCAGAGCAAAGCACTTACCAGAACACAACATAGTAGCATTTGCAAAGGACAGCACATTAAGGTATCTTAACATAACAAGAGAAAGCATGAGAGGTGTCCCAGGTTTAACAGCCAATATTCTGTTATTGAACAAAAGTAACCCCATAGCTCAGTTCCTTTTGGAGAAATGGGTAGATTGTGCATTCCATCGTGAATGTATCTGTGGTGATGGTTTGCCGCCTTATTTATGTGGATTGATTGGAGGAATACCAAAAGGAACAGTGGAATATAACGGCTGCCATCGCTATGACCAGACAGCATTAAGTCTTCTGGTTGCTAAGTATTTTGGTAAAAGCCAAGAAGTTACTTCGGAAGACTGCTCTAGCACTTTTCATGTAGAGAGAAGACCGACAATGAATTGGAGACGATACATTACATTAAAGAAACATTAAATGCAACACAGTTTAGATCTACATTCAAAAAATTACCAGCATAGTCTAGCACCACTACAATCAACTTGTACACTAATTAGGTTAAATCAATCATAGGCCTCGCCTTCTATAGACTGATTATGAAATCATGGCAGCCTTTACTCCCTGCACTTGTACTTTCCTTCATTGTGCTGGTCATTACGTTTCTTTATCTTTATGACTTCAATGAAACTGTTCTCCTACTCCCTTACCACAAGAACAACTCACTAGCCATCAGAAAGCTAAGAACTAGAGCTACTTCTGATAGCCAACCAACGCCCACAGTAATCACTGCCCTGGCATCAAATCATTACAGTGAATCCCTGGATATGATTGGAACTGTGCACTATTATCTACCAAACTCAGATCTGCTGATTTATGATCTTGGTCTCAAGTATCATCAAGTAAAAGTACTACAAAAGCTAAGGAACACATATGTCATACCGTACAATTATTCACGTTATCAACAATACAGTCAAGCAAGGAGATATTATAGATGTTATTCATGGAAAATACACGTTATTAATGAAGTCCTCAGCTTCTCTTCTCATTCGCAGCAATTATTCCTGTGGCTTGATGCTAGCATTAGGATCGTAAAACCAGTAGATCCTTGCATAAAGAAACTCAAATCCTTTCCACTTGTTGCTGGTGAAAAACACATACCAGGCCACAATATGATAGCATTTGCAAAAGACAGCACTGTGAAGTATCTTGATATTAAAAGAGAGAGCATGAGAGGGATGGTCGGTTTTTGTAGTGGAATATTATTCTTTAACAGAAGCAGCCCAATTATTCAGCTCCTCTTAAGAAAATGGGTCGACTGTGCAATGCACCAACAATGTATCTGTGGTGATGGTCCTTCACCAGTTGGCTGTGTATGGGAGGACAAAGGAGGATGGATTGCTTATAATGGCTGTCATAGGTTTGATCAGGTCACACTCAACATTTTGGTTGCTAAATATTTTGATCAGTACAAATACTCAATTACATCATGGGACTGTTCTGAATCTTTTCATATTCAAAGAAGACCAACAATGAATTGGAGACGCTACATTGCACTGAAGAATGACTACAGATAATAATAAAGTATTATAGAACGTATTGTTTTCTTGTGGCCATGCAGTGGTTGTGCAGTAAATTTAATACAATTACTGTACAGTTATGTGAAATATATAACTTGGTTTGCAGAGTGATTTTGACAGCATCTTCATATATAGTTACTTTGATCTTGCAAGCAACATGTTGCTTACAAGATCAAATTAACCATATAAATGCATAACTTATGATATGTATTTATACATATCTATTCTATACATGTGATATGATATGTATGAATACAATGTGTATGAATAGTCTATTTGGATAGCTAGTTTAAAATAAAAATAAATAATTATCTCAATTTTAATTTTTGTATACAACCCTCCCTCTTATTCCCCACAAATATTCCCAGCTATCCATAGACACTATACATGGACTGTATGCATTCATTTATGAAAATTGACATGCTCCAAAATGCTGAGAAAGAAAAGATGATAACAAAATTTTATAGACACGTTATAAAAGTCCAACAATAAGGAAACAAACAATCACCAGCAAGTCCATTAAGGATCCACAAAAGAAACCATGATATAACGTGTACCTGATAAAATTAACGATAAAAATTTATTAATGTCATTGTCTTTGGCTCACCACTGGTAGTCGGAAGCCCTTCGTGGTAATGAGTTAAGCGTCCTGGATGCATCAATGCCCATCCTAGCTTTGTATCAACTACGCTGCAATTCTGTCTCACAAATCTGCATCCTCCACCCTAAAAGAACAATAATCGTGGACTAGTATGCATTAATTCTCTCATTAAGCAGCATTGGGTAGATACTGATACCTGGTGGTCAATCCCAGGCCTTGTAAGAGCAACGTTAATAGTGAAAGTTGATGAATCGTGGTGAGGTCTAAGATCTGGTTGGCCTTGTGGATGATACTTTACCACAAAATTCAAATCAGCTCTTGCCTAAATAATAATAAAAAATATACCCATTACTAATTATAGTACAGTTATTCCACTCTTCTTTTTTATTATTATTATTTTTATTATTAATATTATTAAGACTTGCCCTTGAGTAGTATCCAGGAAACACTTTAATTTGTATTGGCACAACGTATTTAGCCAGTATATCCAGCCACTGCTTCTCAAAACCAACCTGAAACAAATCATATTAGCAAATAAAAGCATTACACCAAAAGTACATTATCAGCAGGATTGCACATCATTCATTTTTTTATGATACATAAAAAGTTTCTAAATTCATGTTTTTATCCAACAATTGGCTTTAAAAAACACTATTCATGCATTATATTCTCTGACACATCTATAGCGTTGCTCAACAAACCTGATTCATGTGGATATCTCTAGTAGGCACATTCTCATATCCACCATCCAGTCTTGGGTCATCATTCTCCCCATTGCTCCATTTACCAAATTTTTCCAACTCCTAATACACACCATTATTAATCATTCAATCTCAGTTCTATCAGTACCTCAATAATTTCTTTGGTATAAGCAGGGGAGAGGAGTGGAAACCAGTACACGTCAGTGCATGGCTGCGAAATATCATCAGGGCCAGCATTTAATGCAACCGAATAATTCTCATGAAGATATTTCTTCTCCCACTCCTGATAGTAAAGATATAGTAAATATACATGTATAGATCTAGCATCCTTATAGTGTAATATGATAATCTCACTTGTCTGTTTTCAAAGATGTTATAGATGTCGTTGTGAAGGTGATGTATTTCATAGTTTGAAGTACTAATGAGGTGACCATACTTTTGAAGGTTGCTAACATACATGAAGTGACCCTATTATACACAAAAAAGTGATAAGAATATAAAGTCTTGATGAAGCCAAACTAACATTATTTCTCATCCATTGACAGAGAGCCATGTCAGGCTCAAATTCTTCACTAGCAAATGATGGTAATCCTTTGGCGTCAGTTGAACGTTTTAGCAGCCACTCCCCTTCAAACAAAATAGCCGTACTAATGAATGGTACATTCCATATTCCTCTGCAATAATAAAAAAGGGAAATAAAATTTTTCCTTTGTGTATCTTTATTTTACTTTCTCTTAGATTCAACTATAACAAAATAGTCCCGCGACCGAGCGTAGAATCCATCCTTTGCAATGGATCCCCAGAAATTTGTCCAGTATTTATCGGGTCGTCCAAGTATTGGAGCAATGACATGCCTAAAAATAATCAAAAAATAATATTTAAAATATTTTTATTGATTTTCCTGCTTGTTTTTTACTTGTTCAGTGTTATCAGTTTTCTAAGAGCATCTGGATCATCAAATACTCCAGTTGAGTCTAGCATTAAATAATAATCAGACTTCTTGCTGAGAGATTCTTTCCTACAATAGATAACATCAAAAATATATACACATAAATACTCTATTCCCCATCTCTTACATTGCTGTTGTTCTTGCTTCAATTTCAGTAATGTCCCTATAGGATCCTGTGTATTGAACTGATGCATATTCAGACTTGACCTCATCAGACCATTTGCTAAGGAGATCTTCATGATAGCTATTCTGAATATAAAAAAACAATTACAAATCTCAATAAAAAAATAATTCTTTACTTTGTTGTACACCCAGAGGTGAATGAGATTTTTTGGATAGTTTAATTCACTGAGTGACTTTAATATGGCTTCTCTTAAAAACGGAGTCGGAGACATTACAAATAATCCAACGAAAACTGTCGGCCATTTTGATGAATCTTCAGGTAGCTCATGGAGACCTTCAGAGCAGTGAAGACATCCTTCATCAACATTGTATTGATTAGGTATGTAATTGCCCAAAAAATTAAGGAAATTCTAAAATCAAAAAGCGTATGAAATGATGTATGTATATATGTGCAGGGTTTTCCACAAAGCATACTAAGCAGCATGCTTGAGCAGTACATGTTATTTGGAGCAACTTTAAAAATTCGTAAAAAATTCAAAATTGATTGGAATTAGTTCAAACTTTCTACACAACATATGTATACGTACCAGAAAAATTATTAAAATGGTGAATTCTTTTCTTTTCATTTTTGATGAAATTTGGTCAAAATCCCTGTACTATAGTACAGGGACTTTCACCCAATTTTTGAGCAACTTTAAAAATTTGTAAAAAATCCAAACTTGATCTGAATCAGTTTAAACTTGCTACACAACATAAGTACATGTATATGTATCAGGAAAAGTTATAAAAATGGAGAATTTTCTAGTTTTCATTTTTGATGAAATTTGACCAAAGTCCCTGTACTATAGTACAGGGACTTTGGCCCGTTTTTAAAGAAACTTTAAAAATTCGTAAAAAATCCAAACTTGATCTAAATCAATTCAAACTTTCTACACCACATAAGGACATGTATACGTATCAGGAAAAATTATTAAAATGAAGAATTCTCTTTTTTTCATTTTTGACAAAATACCCTGTACTATATAGTACAGTGTCTTTGGCTCAATTTTTGAGCAACTTGACAATCCACTGACAAGAAGCTGCATGCATGAGCACTATACCAAAACCCTGTGGAAAACCTTGTACTGTATAGCGGGTATATTTCGTCTGGAAAAATGTTCGTTCTAGAAATTTTCGTTCGTTTTATTTTTGTTCTGAGCAACCATTTTGCACACGTGGCATTAAGGAAACGCCCTTTTCGTTTGGAAAATGTTTGTTCCACAAGGAATGAGAACAAAAAGAATGAAATTAAACTCGAACAGAATATACCCGCTATACGGTATATGAGCATTCATACTTTAGATCCACCATTCCCATGCAGTATAGCAGCTCTAGTGTTGTATAGGGTGTTAGTAGCATAGGATTCGTTTGATGTCACATGCAGATCAATCTCATCCTCGGCTCCATTGAGATTCTGGAAAATGTGGGACCTGTGATCCAACCTCATGCCATATTTGTCCTATACAATAGCTTCATTAACAGAAATGGCATTGATACAACTCAAATGTACGTGTAAATAAAGCACAAAGCATATACTGCAGCAGTAGTAGGATGGTCAATAGAAAACAATAGAGTGAAGTATGCATGTGTACTATATATACTCACTCTCTTGTGTGGATCAAGGTAAATCTTGGTATAAAAGAGCTGATCATCGTCAGTATCACTGATTTCACTGTCTGTGATTATGCTGTACATTTGAGATGCATAGCCGATGTAGCCACCAGAACATAAGAACCTTTTTCCCAGACCAACTTTTGGGTATCGTGACTACACGATAAAACATAGTAGCGAGAGAAATGGAAGGAGAAAGAGTTTTAAAGAGGGAGTTTTAATTAGCTTACAGCAAGGCTTTGATCAGGCCAACAAAATTGCTCGGCTGAGAAAACAAGATTAGTTCTAAAATCTTTAAATTTTTCTAGAATTTTCTCTGAGTTAGCAGCAAATATGACATCATAGCTATTGGAAAAAAACAAAAATATTTCTGGCCTGCAGCTCATCAAGTCTCACCTATCCACAAACATGACTACCAGATCTTTCCTCTCTCTCCATTTCTCAAGTACGGGCTTGAGTAGGTTCAATTTGAAACCTCCTCCAGGGTAGCGCTGAATGTCACCGCCTTTCCATTCCTCACCCATGCCTACAATCTAAAGTACATTTTAATAAATAATTAAATGAAACTGATCAACGATTGTTCTTGAAAATGTCATCGTTTAAAAATATTTTAGCCACTTGCCTCAACTGATATTCCGTAGTATGCTGCACTTTTCATGAATCTCTTGAATCCATCTGTCTCCTCTGTTGCAACTGTTATCACTTTCAGCTCCAGTGCTGTAGTAAATGCATTATAGTATAAATGCATCCCATTACAGTCATCATGGACACATATGCGGTTTTAAACTTACACATGGAGTAGGTAGAGAGGCAGAGAAGCGACAAAAATGTGAGTAGCATATTTCCCTAAAGGATACAACGTCTACAGTCAGAGTTCCTGGTTCTATTCAAAAGTTTATTCTACTTGAAATAAAAGAAAACACAAAGTGACAATACTCTTTTGTAGCCGCATATCATACGGCCGGCAATGGGAGGGGCTAGGCATTGAACGCCCACTCAAATTATTAACAGATAGAGCTAGAGCTGGAGGTGTGGATTTGAGGCCGACAAATATTTTCACAGCATAGAGCAGCATCACTGACTAGAAAATTCCGAGTAAATACAATGGCTGACAAGGAGACAGCCGTCGAAAAGGCCCTGCGAAAGCTCAACAAAGTCCTCCATGAGAAAATGAACGGATTTGATGTCAACGTGAGCTTGTACGGCTGTGGACAAGTCACGTACTCTGAATACGAGAAGATACGCAACTCGAGAAGTGTCCCGGAAGCGAATTCTGAACTTGTCTCAGTCCTACACAGGAGAGGTCCTGGTATACTGGACGAGCTTTTGAAGGCACTAAAGGAGGAAGAAGACGCCAATCAGTTTCTAATTGGTAAAATCAAAGAAGGTAATTGACCTGCACATATTAATTATTATTATTTTAATTTAATATTTTTAATGTATACACGTATGTTTTGTTTTGTAATTTGATCATTATGAGATGGGATATATATATAGATTGGTAGATAAGAGCCTCCACATTTCAATGATAGCTTATTGTTCGAGGCTTGCCTGTGGTTTATCTATTATAACACAGTCCTGAACTATTATATGAATAATAACATATCGGATGCTATATTTTTAGGGATTATTTTTTGTTTTGATGAACTACCACCTGCACTAGTAATACATGTATAATGTGTAAATACACCTGTTGTCGTAGTAATTGTATTATTATTATTATAGGAGATTACATCACTTTCCTCTATCTTCTATCTCTCTTCCCCCCTCCCCCCGTCTTTCGATCTCCTATAAAACTTTTCCTTACTCTAGTATACAATCCTGATGATTTTAAGAACGATAAACCTCCTAAGGAGACTGGCGCCAAATGTAAAGACACTCCCTTATCACACAATCACTCCTTATCCCTTCCTCTCTCTCTCTAGTTCCATCGTCAGAAGCTAAGGAGGAGTTCCTTGGTAACGGAGATTGGCCGGCTCCAATGAGCTCTCTCTCTGTTTCCAGGACTATATCAGATCCATTGTCGCCCACAGAAACAGTAGATTTCAATCCCAAGATGGCGTACAAGATGACCGCCAGGCCTCGAGGGGTAGCCATAATTATAAACAATAGACACTTTACTTGTGGAATGAAAGAAAGAATAGGTAGAGACATACACTGTATGCCACAATAATGCTAATAGTGATAACAGTACGTAATGTAATAGTATAGCCTTTCTCTCGCTATTAAAATACTGCTTTGGTAAAATGACCACATTTTCAGTTACACAACACTGTATCAAAGATGAGACACACAAGTTGACTAAAGCAATTGTCATGCATTTTATGTGTAGTTCCAACAATTAACTTACTATTAACATGTAATTTAAAGTTATTATACATATAGTAGTAAACAATTATTTGCTGTGTCATGTATCATCATGTTTATTCTATGCTGACAGGAACTGATAGAGATGCTGAATCACTAACAAGATTGTTCATACATCTTGGCTTTTATACTAACAGATATGATGATCTGAAAGGTAAAATATTATGCTTGCAGGCATGTGTATCCAAAACTATCTATAAAATAGAAAGTTTAGCAATTTTTTTCTCCTTCTATCAGGCAAAGACATGCACAAGAAGATTAAAGATGCTTCCATGCTGGACCATTCACAGTTTGACTGTATCATAATAGCCATTTTAACTCATGGGATCAGCGGGAAACTGTACAGCACTGATGGGGACCTCATACCAGTTCAAGACCTCACCAAATACTTTGATGGACTGCACTGTCCAGCTCTTATTGGGAAGCCTAAAGTGAGAGCTGAAGAGAAGAGAGAAGACATTGTGTGCTATTGTGCTTAACTTTATTATGAGTAGATATTTCTCTTGCAAGCTTGTCGAGGTGGCAGGTTTGATTTTGGCGTCGAATCGGAATCAACCGATTTGGGCGAAGACGCAGTCAAGACTTTATCTGAAGAGAAGTACGAGGAAATTGAAAAGAAAGTAAGCCTGTTGCTTCTACCATAATAAACTCAAGTCTTTATTTTCTTTTAAGGTTCTTGATTCTCCTGAGGTTTTCTTTGAGGCGACAGACTCGAAAGAGGAAACAGATGGAGGAGGAGGTTCTCAGGGTACCCTACCAGTTGAGTCTGATTTCATGCTAGCATATGCCACAGTACCAGGTCAGAAAAATAGAATAATTAGTGGGGGGGGGGGGTTAAGAGATTACTTTACATCTTCAGCCTTAGTTTTCTAATGTATGAAATGGTACATGTACATCTACTTACATGTACATGTACATGCATGTACAAGGCACCTTTCAGTTGTATGAGACAGTACAGCAAAATAAACTGTCCTTTGTGAATGGGAGGAGTTGCTCCTTTTGTAGCAAACAATACACGCAAATTAGTGCTATAGTTAATACCTCCAAAAATATTCATTACTTTATGTAGGTTACGTGTCATGGCGTAACTCGGAATATGGCTCATGGTTCATAAAGGCTTTCGTTGACACCATGTTTGAGCTTGCCCCTTCTGAGCATTTCACTGACATACTCATCGAAGTGAACAGGAGAGTCGCCAACGACTTTCAGAGCAAAGGACGTAACAAACAGATCCCATCTCCAGTGATAATGCTAACACGGAAGCTGTATTTCAGACCAGGGGTATACAAATGAAGATGGGTGGTGGCGGAGGGTCGTCGGTTTTTGTTAGCTTTTGATACTAACCTTATATTTAGCTTTTCTTTTTTTTTCGAGAAAAAAAGACACACACACCACACATTACATTATTATTGTTATTAATCATTTATCATTATCTGTTTTGTTTTGTGAGTGCATGGTGTTTTAGAAAAATCGGGGGTAGCTTTTTACATTTATTCATATTAATAATAATTAATAATAATGACAATTAATCATTCTTCAAACAATAAGCAGTGTCTCTCTGCCAAGTGTAGGCATGGACAAAAAATAACACTACAGCGAAGACGAACTCGTGTCATCTTTCGACTGATAACGTCTCTTGCCGTGAGTGAAAGGAAGATACTTGTATTTGATCATATGCTGCAAGAGAGAGAGAGAGAGAAAAGAATAAAATGATCAAGATGGCCCATAATCACATTTAAATGTAGAGGGAGTTTAGGAGACTTTTGGTCTTTCACATTTGGTCTAGGTCTCCTAAATCACCCATTTTTAGCTTTTGGTCTCTCATATTTAACTTAAGTCTTCTAAAATCTCTCATTTTTAGTTAGATTGGTCTCCCAAAATATATTTCTAGATCTTATAATTACCATTATTTGTTTCTTCATTGTTACAGCGAATAGCACAATGAAGTAGATGAGAAGTATCGGCCAGAAGACAGGAATGTTTAGAATTGAAAAGAAAGTGCATATAAAAGCAATCAAAATAGCCCTTGTCATTGAATGCCTATAAAAATTTAAAAAACAATAATAAAAACAAAATAATAGTAACGTCCAGGTTTCCTACAAAGCATGCTAAGTGAGCTGAAAAACACTACAATAAAGTATGAGGCATTTGCAGCAACTTTAAAAATTTGTAAAAAATCCAAATTTGATCGGAATCAGCTAAAACTTTAAACATCAGAAAAAATTGAAAATGGAAAATTCTCTCCTAGCCATTTTTGATGAAATTTGGCCAATGTACAGGGACTTTGGCCCGATTTTTGAGCAACTTTAAAAATTCATGAAAAATTCAATTTTGATCAGAATCATCTCAAAACTTGCTACACAACTTAAAAACATGTATAATGTATTTTTTAAAATTATAAAAATGAAAAATTCTCTCCTTGTAATTTTTTCAAAATACCCTGTACTATGGTACAGGGTATTTGGCCCAATTTTGAGCAACTTAACATCAACTGACAAGAAGCTGCATGAGCTCAAATCATAATAATAACACTTTATTATAAATAATATACATGAGACTAGACATAATAAACCTAATGGGAACAAAAGGTAATTCAACTTTCTCTCTCATCCCATTATGAATGCATGCACATTACATGTCTTTCTTCTGCACTTACCAAAATTTAAATTCAGGTAGCCGTCTGATAAACGGCTTAAACTCTTCGTTAGATGTGGTTGGAAGACTAGGCCCATCTGAATATTCACATACAAACAAGTCATTAAAAATCTCATTCATTTTCATTTATCTATTCTACCTTCGTCTGTGTCTTCTTCTACGGCAGGATCAAACTTTGGAGAAAGAAAAGCTATGAACAGGCTAAGAAGATATATAGCTAGAGCGTACGTTACTATGTACCACCCCTAAGAGAGGGAGGGGATCAGAATGAGGTGATAGACAAGGTGTGGTTTTTTTCTAACTTGAAGAAAATAGATCCTAATTATATAAACTAACAGGGTACAGATACAAAACCCCCACCGGCCGCCTCTGTATGGAACTAAATCGTCTAAAAACTTCTGATATCTCTGTAAGAGAAATATTACATTAAAAATGATTATTAATATGTATATAAATGTCCATTAAATAAAATGAGGATTATTTTTGATTTTATGTAACTTACAGCGTTTAGTCTGCTCCATAGCGAAGGTCCCCTGCTGGTAGGTGATGCTGGCGTTTCTCCTACTAATAGAGAGGTAGAGAAAGAAAGTAATAGCGTGTCGTTTTCACAATGGTCTTACCTGTGGCCATTATTGAGGCATTCGTTTAATTAAGAAAATAAAATCCAAAAAGTGCGCAAATTTAATCCCGCGGCCGTTCGGAAAAATCTACTGCGCATGCGCAGTTTGACGAGGCGGGGTCTCGGAAGACTACCATATACGGTCAACATACAACAGGGAGTCCCTCCTCTGTACTTCTCTATCCATTTCTCCCCATTCTTCAAGGCATAAGACTTCTACTAGGGACCAAGGACGTTAGAATGGTAAGAGAGAGACATTTTTACATGCCTGGCAGTGATAAAGGCAGTTAATATCAGCCTATGAGTGTCTATGCTATGATACATGTAATGTACATGTAGTAGTTTATTTTTTATTCTCTTTCCCTCTTTCTGTTATTAGTCTAATACAGACCAACAGTTGGATTGTGCATTGGATCTCATGCGAAGGTTGCCGCCTCAACAAATCGAGAAGAACCTCTCGGATCTCATTGAACTTGTAAGAAACTTTAATTAGTGCATGTGGGCGGTAAGACACTTTAATTACTACATGTGGGCGGAAGCTAAGAGTAAAGGCCAATTTACACTGTAAATGTTACGACAAAGTACTTGTGAGCATATGCATAACATGAGAGTGAGGACGGTTTTAATACTTGCATGACGACATAAGTTTATAGGCAAAATTCCAGCTGTAATGTATTATCTATTGTAGTCTGGATATATTTGGGGGAAAGGAAGCCATTTTAGGTTTAATTTTTGTGTGTTACTTTCCTTCCTCTCCCCCTCTCTCATGTTTTTCTTGTCTTCTTGTGCTTTTGTGTATAATAACAATCGATAATAAATTACTGTTGGTTTTCCCATTGCAAGCAATAACACTGAAAATATCTGCCACATACCAATTGATTACTGTTAGTTATTACTCCTCTTTCTCTCTCCCTCCCTCTCTCTCTGTCTTTCTGTTTCTGTGTCTCTGTCTCTGTCTCTCTCCCTCTCTCTTTCTCTCTCTCTTTCTCTCCCTTTCTCAAGGTTCCTGATTTATGCGAAGATCTCTTGTCCTCTGTTGATCAACCCTTAAAGATTGCCAAAGACAAAGAGACTGGAAAAGATTACCTTCTGTGTGACTACAACAGGGATGGAGATTCATACAGGTGGGTGTGGCTTAACAAAAGTGGGTGTGATCCTGTGCATGGGTGATATTGTATGAGTGTCAAGTGATAATGTTTAGTAATTCACTCTTTCGAAATGCCCTACTGATAATAACAGGCTGATACTGATATTTTCATTTTCTCCAGGTCTCCCTGGGAGTAATAAATACGATCCTCCTATAGACGATGGAGCTGTCCCTAGTGACAGGCTCAGGAAATTAGAGATCAAAGCAAACGAGACGTTTGATACATACCGTGAACTGTAAGTAAAGGATTATGCTACTAATAAATAATAACTACACGTAATAATAATGTTTAATAATACATTAAACATTGTAATGGACTAATGGTGTAAGATTTCCTACCACACCAGTTTACTGCAACTACAATCTTGTTTTTTTTTGTTTTCCAATCCTACTACTTCATTTAGTCTACATACAAATTATATACAATGTAATGAATGTATTATATGAAACTTCTTCTCTTTGTCCTTTTTTTCTACTCTAGTTATTTTGAGAGCGGGGTCTGTAGCGTTTACCTCTGGGATCTTGACCACGGTTTTGCAGGTGTTGTCCTTATCAAGAAAGCCGGCGATACCGAGAAGATCAAAGGCTGCTGGGACTCAATCCACGTCGTTGAAGTCCAAGAGAAAGCTCAAGGTCGGAACGCTCACTACAAACTGACATCAACAGTCATGCTGTGGCTACAGGTAACTAATGCACACTCTGATTTATATTTGATCACACCCACTTTATTTAATGAAACAATTTTTAGACGATAAAGAGTGGCTCTGGCACTATGAATTTAGGCGGTAGTTTAACACGACAGGTGGAGACTGATCACAACGTCAGCGATGCTAGCCCGCACATTGCAAATATTGGACGAATGATAGAGGTATGGGGGAAGGAAGTAAAATTTCAAGTCCTTATATTAATTGTTTTGATGTGTAGGAAATGGAGAATAAGATAAGATCAACTTTGAACGAGATTTATTTTGGAAAGACGAAAGATATAGTCAATGATTTAAGGTACTATTATTTATTAATTTTTTTATTCATTTATTTGTATTTTTCTTTTTTAGATCTGTGGGTGATCTTAACGTCAGAGCTAAGCAGCAACTACTTGCGTCAGAATTAACTAGGAAACTTCAAGATCGGGATTAGCAGCGGTCGGTAGCAGTTTGGTGTTTTTCAAAAATAATGTGAACTCTGTTATTATTATTATTATTATTATTATTATTATTATTGTGTTAGCCGATGATTTTATGTTTTAATAAGAGCTTAGTATTGTTATTGTTATTATTATTGTTGTTATTATTATTATTGGTGTTGTTATAATAACAATAATTATTATTCCTTACATGATAGAGAGAAAACAAATTTAAACCGTTCCTCCATTTACTTTTGTTCTTGCTAGTATTCATTGGACTATTGATTGCATCATCATGTGCTGTTAATGATTTTACTTGATGCATTGTAGAGAAGGAGAAAGCTAACAAACATGAAGTGTGCTCATTTCATTCTTCTCTTGTTCCTTGAGATGACGCAGGGACTCTCCTGGACGCAGCAATATGGAGACCCTAGCTCTACAAGCTTTGTGCACGGACTTCGAGTTTCAACGCCTTCAAAAACCACTTGGAATTATTCTGTTCCAAATGACTATGATTATTACAAAGTGTCGTTTTTCTACAATTCGCCTGCTTTCTCGCCAGCTGGTGTGGTATTTCTGCCTCTTGCTTACAGCAGGCCTTACCCTGATCTGTTATTCCTGCAAATAAGAGCTGTATCACACAACGGGACTGAGCTATGGGTCTCTGAAGATATCCACAATCATAAAACTGATTGTGCCGGTGTGCTTATGACCAATGTGTTGTACAGTGAAGAGCATCACATGGTGATTGCTGGATGGGACTGTGCTGATTCTTTCCCTTACTATGCAAAAGAAGGCAACCTTGTTGGTTTGAATGCAAGCAATGGGTCGCTCTTGTGGAGGTCTGAGAATCTTAAGCTCAATGATGCTGCTACCATTTCAATGAGTAAGGATGTTGTCTTTGTGTCTGGTGGCTTTAGCTGCTACCTTGATGGTCAGATACTTGTTAAGGAGCAAAACAACAAGAGTTTGATAGTTGGGATTGATATAGTAACAGGTATACTTGTATCTCATTGCATAATTAATGCATCCTTTCTCTTAAAGGTAAATTCATTTGGAGCGAGGTTCAAAATCATGCCGGCTGCCGTACTGCTCAAACAAAAGCCAGTTCTTCTTTAGAGGACGGTAGCTCAAGGTTTATGATACCTGTCAATCTACCTGGAGGACCTTACCTTGTTGGAGATCTACTCTCCATCAGCTGTCATTCCAATAACTGCAGTCATGCCTGGCTGAAGCACCTAAGGATTTCATATGATGCTAGGGTAATTTATTATACTATTATGCTATTGTGAATATTTCTCTCTATTTCCCCAAGTTTGCATTCACAGTAGATGGGAAAGTGATGTTTGGTAGCTACGGTCTAGCTGGTAATCCTGATCAAGTATTTGGACTAAGTGTTGAAACTGGGAGCATAATCTTCAGCAGAAGAGGAGCATGTCCTCCTGGTGTCTTTCCAAGTGGCCCAGCAGTCGATGGACAGTCTAATGCTTATTACAGGTGCTTGCAAAAGAAAGGAAGAAAACTGTACATATTTTTCATATAAATTATTCTATTTTTGTAGTTGTGGTAACAAAGCCTTTGGAGTCAATTCAAAAGGTGACATTATCTGGGAGAGTAAGACTTTTAATGACACTGGGTATACTTTCGACTCACTCTTAAAGTTTTCACCAGCACTCCATCTTGATAAGGAATTTCTGATATTTGTCAATACACACAGTACAGAGCTCTATGTTCTATCCCTGAGTGATGGCTCAGTCCAGGGTCATTCTTCAATAAGAGAATACAGTGGTTTTAGTGGTTGCATTGAGCCTCCATTGCTTGTAGGAGACTCAGTTTATATCATCAAAGCGGACAGTAACAGTATTACTTATCTTTATAGCATACCTCTGAAAAATATTTTATTTTCTAAAAATTAAATGTTGATGCTGCTGAAATCATTTTTGGTGCAATTTATTTATGGGTGTGGCTCAGTGGAATACGCCCACGCAGGGGCGTAGCTCAATTCGAGCCCCTCCTCCTCCAAATGAAGCTAGGACGATGGCTCTTTACCCCTTCACATTACCGAGTGGTTTTTGCTGGTGGAGGGATTATGGGCTGCAGCAGTGCGTTCTTTTTAACGAGACACGTCCCTCCTTCTCAAATATGTATCGTGGAACGTGATCCAACAGTAAGAAATCATTTCAGAAAATTTTTGTAATACACGTGGCAATTGAATAATATTATGGAAGAAATTATTATTTATTTTAAATACTTTAAACCCTCAGTATAAGGAGGCTTCAACTGTATTATCTGTTGGTTCGATAAGACAGCAGTTCTCACTGGCTGGTAACATCCTTCTCTCGTTGAAATCCTCAAAGTTTTTAAGAGAAGACCTCAAGACAGAACTTGTGGTGGAAAGGGATGCTCCTCCTGATATCCAGTTTTCAAGTGGTGGCTACCTTTTCCTTGCGAGTAAAAAGGGAGAGGACACTTTGCGGCGAAACTGTGAACTGCAATGGTATGCAAATCAGCTATAATGCATTTATTTTATTTAGCGAAATTGATGCACACTGATTCTTGCATTTTAAAATTACGATTTCTTGTAATAGTTCCCTTGGAGCTGATATTAAATTGATGGACTCGGGAGAATTAGGTACGACTTTTCCATGGTTATGCACTGATGACTTAGCAATTGGAACAATTGGTGAGATAAAATATTTATTATTTAACAATATTATTTATTCATTTAATTACATGACATTAAACTTGTAAGAAACTAAGAATATGTATATAATAGCATTAGAAATGGTGATTTTTAAAACGGCTCCTTTTTAATGCTCATAACTCAAAAAATATCAGCTACACAGCATAAGGACATTAATGTGTATAAGAAAATGTAATAAAAGTTTGAGGTGATTTTGGAGCCATTTTTTGGAAAAAAACCATGGGCTATAGCCTTTGCTTTTTTTAAAAAACTGGCCCATTTAAAAAAATGCTAATCACTCAAAAAATTTTGTCGAAATCTGCTCAAACTTGCTACACAGCATAAGTACATCAATGTGTATCAGAAAATGTAATAAAACTTTATGGTGATTTTGGAGCCATTTTTTGGAAGAAACCATGGGCTATATTTGCTTTTCTTCAAAATTTAGCCCATTATTAAAAATGCTAATAACTCAAGAAATATATGTCGGAATCAGCTCAAACTTGCTACATAGCATAAGGACATCAATGTGTATAAGAAAATGTAATAAAAATTTGGGGCGATTTTGGAGCCATTTTTTGAAAAAAAACCATGGGCTATTATAGCCCTTGCTTTTTTTCAAAATTTGGCCCATTAAAAAAAAATGCTAATAACTTTAAAAATATTAGTCAGAAACAGCTCAAACTTGCTACATAGCATAAGGACATGAATGTGTGTCAGAAAATGTAATAAAAGTTTGAGGTGATTTTGGAGCCATTTTTTGGAAAAAAGCCATGGGCTATAGCCTTGAGTATTTTTCAGAATTTTGACATTTTCTTAAAATGGTTGTAACTTGAAAATTGAAGTCGGAATCAGCTCCAACTTTCTACACAGCATAAGGACATCAATATGTATCAGAAATTGTAATAAAAGTTTGAGGTGATTTTGGAGCCATTTTTGGAAAAAACCATGGGCTATAGCCTTTGCTTTTTTTCAAAAACTAGCCCATTTAAAAAAATGCTAATAACTCAAGAAATATATGCCGGAATCAGCTCAAACTTGCTACATAGCATAAGGACATCAATGTGCATAAGAAAATGTAATGAAAATTTGTGGCGATTTTGGAGCCGTTTTTTGGAAAAAACCATGGGCTATAGCCTTTGCTTTTTTTTTTAATTTGGCCCATTTTAAAAAATGCTAATAACTTTTAAAATATTTGTCAGAAACAGCTCAAACTTTCTACATAGCATAAGGACATCAATGTGTATAAGAAAATGTAATAAAAATTTAGGGTGATTTTGGAGCCATTTTTTGGAAAAAACCATGGGCTATAGGCTTTGCTTTTTTCAAAAACTGGCCCATTTTAAAAAAATACTAATAACTCAAAAAAAATTTTTTGGAATCAGCTCAAACTTGTTACATAGCATAAGGACATCAATGTGTACCATATAGTGGGTTTGTTTTGTGAGGCTAAACTTTCGTTCTTTTCATTCTTCAAGATGGGAGAACAAACAATTAACCCAACGAAATTCCAGTTTTAATGGGCGTGGTAGCTTATAAACGTCTTCAGAACGAATGTTTAACCTCACGAAAGTCATTTTGAGGATGGAAAACGAAAGTTTACCCTCACGAAACAAACCCGCTATACGGTATAAGAAAATGTAATAGAAATTTGGGGCGATTTCGGAGCCATTTTTTGGAAAAACCATGGGCTATATAGCCTTTGCTTTTTTCAAAATTTGGCCCATTTTAAAAAAATACTAATAACTCAAAAATATTTGTCGGAATCAGTTCAGACTTGTTACATAGCATAAGGACATCAATGTGTATAAGAAAATGTAATAGAAATTTGGAGCGATTTTGGAGCCATTTTTGGAAAAAACTATGGGCTATAGCCTTTGCTTTTTTCAAAATTTGGCCCATTTTAAAAAATGCTAATAACTTTAAAAATATTTGTCAGAATCAGCTCAAACTTTCTACATAGCATAAGGACATCAATGTGTATAAGAAAATATAATTTGGTTAAAATTGTATCCCCTTTCAAAATTGTTTGATACTGGAGAGAGGGAGGGAAGAAAGGAGGATGCACATGAGAGAGGAGGGATGGGAAAGAGATCACTTTACTTCGATAAACCTGTTCTCAGATGATACTCTATGTATACTTTTACTATTAATAATGATAGTATCAGTATCACTGTTTCTTTTGATGTGGCCCGAAAGCAAAAGGTCACTCTTAAAGCCTTTCCTCCATTATAAATCCTTTTTTAAAAATACAATTGTTGCGCTTCTCATTATGATAATTTTGTAGCCTGCTGTACAAACTCTACTGGTAGATGTAGTGAAATTGTTGATTTATCATAGGTCAAGTCAATGAGGGCTGGTTTGACCCTTGGCTTCTTCTCACTGCTTTTAAAAAGAAGCTATTGTCACTGGGCGTACAGTTTGTCCATGGTGAAGTGATTGGACTGAATCTGGAACAGAATAAAGTCAAGCACGTACAGGTAAGAGTGAATAGATTATTAGTACATGTACAATCATGTATACATGTGTATTATGCTCTCCTATTTCTTTCTCTCAGGTGCATGAATCAGATTCAAAAGAGACTGAGCTGGGTTGTGATTTTTTCGTCAATTCCGCTGGGCCTCATGCTGCAAAAATTGCCAAAATGGCTGACATAGGCATGGCCTCTCACCCTAACCCAATCATGAGAGTCCCCCTTCCTGTCAGTCCGAGAAAGAGGCAAGTGTTTGTGTTTCATTGTCCAAGAGGACCAGCTAATCCGGTGTTAGTCGTAGATCCTTCCGGAGCATATTTCAGACGAGAGTCCCAAGATGGCATGTACATTGCTGGTATTAGCCCCCCACCTCACAAAGACTTTGAAACGACAAATTTAGAAGTCGACTATAATCAGTTTGATGAAACCTTGTGGCCTATTCTTGCCTCTCGAGTCCCAGAGTTTGAAAGCTTGAAAGTCAAGGGGGCATGGGCTGGGTTTTACGACTATAACACTTTTGATCAGAATGCGATTTTGGGACCTCATCCAGTAATCAACAATTTTATATTTGTGAACGGGTTCAGCGGTCACGGTATACAACAGTCCCCAGAAGTAGGCAGGGCCATTAGCGAGTGTATTGTCTATGGGAAACCGAGTCTGATGGGCTTGGATAAGTTTGGATTCTCCAGGATACTCGAAGGAAGGAAACTATTGGAAAACAATATTGTGTAGTAGAGTGCATTCTTTGCCTTTTAATTCAATAATTCTTACAGTGAACTTCAAAGCAATGGATTGAAAATCAGTTACACTTTGTGCTAATTTATCATTCTCTTCTCTCTTCCTTTCTCTTCCCCTTTTTGCCTCTCTATACATGCATATATCTGTTTTGTCTGAATGCATGACTACCGTGAAATGGCTTTTATTTTGCCTCATGGTTTGTATAGCATTGACTAGTGCTCTTCATTGAATACATATCAAGGACTATAAACAAAAACTATGTCTTCAGTGTTCCTCGTGAAGCCAGTTGGCCTGTGACAGTGTGTTGACTGTAAACATTGAGTTAATTAGACTCTTGGCATTATGTTCCACTCTTAGGAGACAGAGAGACGCTAGCAGCCATTTAAATGGAGCTAGAGTAGGTAGTAAAGTGATTAGTTAGTTAGTAAACATTGCTAATTGGGAATAAGATCCCCCCTCCCTCTCTCTCTATCTCTCATTTGCATTTTATAAGCTTTTTTGACACCTTCCAATTTTATTTAAAATTTGCATAATGATGATAATAATAATCATAGTGGAAGAAAATAATAATAATATTAATAGTGATAAGGGATCTCTGCAGTTTTTTTAATTGTATTATTACGGTGTTCTCAACTTTATTTATGATACACATTATTATTTAGAATTAATAGTTAAGCCGTTATTATTGGATCCACGGCTTTGTATCGTAACTCAACTCCTGTCCATTAACGTATACAGTTTTTAGCACCGAGTTCGGTATCTCACTTGAAGGTACTTGCCGGTATGTGAGCAGGAACCCTGAGTAAGACCCACTGCTGCTACTTAGAGGGCCCGAGTAGAATCTAAAAGTAGTCTTGGTACCAACTGTGTGTGGTATGTATTGTATACTGAAGTACTGCCCGCATATTCTTTTTTTGGGGAAGTGTCCATGTGTAGCTCTAAGGTAGTCGTTGGAGCAGTTCGGGCTCCTCGAGATATTGATTTGAGTTATGTTAATGATGATGAAGTGATTCTTTTTTCTTGATAATGTCCATTTGCAGTTTTGTTGTGGGGGGTAAGGGTTGGGGTGGCCTGGAGATGATACTGAGCCATTGAGGGAGTCTAAAGTCCCACCACAAACTACAAGGAAATAGTAATCATAATAATAATAAATAACAATGATTTAATCATAATAATAATAATATTTGGTAAACTTTGACCCAAAAATGATGAAACACTCATGTTTTATGGTATTGCTGATGAGAAAGGCGCCTGCCCTTTATGGTCTTCCAACTCATAGACACATTCACATAGGAATGCCTTACAGGAACATGTACATTCCAATTGCTATATTGTGTTAATGTTTTTCCATCTATAGCAACTTAATTTTATTAACAATGCCAGTATGTGTTGCTGCCGCTTTAATTATCCATGGCCATATTTGGCTACGTCTCGTTAATAAGACAATTGCCACTTTTATTATTGGCTTTATGTAATTGATGACTTTTGGTCGTATAAGTTTACATAATGAGGATTAGTCATGCACATAATCATTTTACTATTTAATTATTAAATATTGCATGATTAAAGCATGCTTTATTGAATGCATTATTAAACTCGCATCATTACCAATCTATAGTAGCGTTTAAGCTCAAGACTATTGTCTGACATTTACCTTGACAGCTTCTCATGTCGCTTGTTATTCCGAATCCCTGCCTGCAGTAGCAGTAATAGGAGCCCTCAGTGTTTTGACATTTCTGTTCACAAAGGCTCCCATTGAGCGAGCACTCATTTATATCTATCAAATGTCACATTATAATATTTCTCCCTTTAAAATGTATTTTTGTCTTACCACTGCATGATGCACCATCTGTTGAAAGAGAATACCCAGTTCTGCAGCTGCAGCCAATTTTTTCTCCAATTGAATTTGAGAGGCAGAGCTGGGAGCAACCGCCATTTTGGACTGAGCATAGAACAGTATCTACAGAACACAATGTAAACTAATGAAGATTTAATGGTTGCATGTTTGTGTATGTGTGTGTGAGAAAATGTAGTGTTTAATGCCGAAAGTATGTACTACAGTTTATAGAATGAATGATTGGCTTCTGACTGTGTGTGGTTTATGCAATGCATGCATACCATTGGTAAGGGAATAATTCAAAACAAATCCATCCTTCTGCATTGAGCTATCAGAGCGAAAATGAACAGACACAACATTAGTGTCATTTGAAACGTTAATCTGATGGTCAGTGAGCCGTCCGCACAGTCTGCTTTTGTTAAGCAATCTGTGCTTGGAGTCTTCATGGAATATCTGTATGTAGTCGAAACTGCACGATTCTCCTCCTTCCAAATGTATGCTACTAAATGTAAGCTTTAGTGTTTTTCTATTTGCATGAGGTGGGATCCAGAATCGCCATAAACATTCAGCATTTGGAGGATACTGCGTATCACCAGGGGATCTTATGGTGCCCGGTGAGCTACCTGGAACCATTACGAAACTACTACCGCAATAAGCTATGAAATAATAGAGATGAATTGTGTGCATAAGAAGTGGAAAGAGAGATGGTCAATTAATTATAGTACCTGCGGCACAATTCAGACATACTTTTGCAATGGTCATGCGTTACGTGGTATGTTAATTTCTTAACTGTGTCGGCGATCGATTCATTTCTATTGAGACATATCTCTTTGTCGGACACGTATAACCAATGAGGCCCTGTTCCAACTTTCCCTTGGTGTGAGCAGCACCTGCATAAGGAAATTAAGTTTAATTATAATCAATTTACAGTACAACTTCTAAGAATATCTTAGTAATGTTAATGATTAGCAATTCACCTGTCTCCATATTCAATGAAAATGTAATCAGTCTCGCTTGTCCGAGGCAAAAACTTCACACAAGACATGTTCTCGACTTTCAGCATCGCAAAATGCAATGGAACTCTCACAGAATCTAAGCATGAAAATCAAGCAAAACGGAATAATATGATGGTGTTGACAGCAGCTCATTGGCATGTAAATTCATTAGCATCTCTCAAAGGAACTGAAAACACTGTACCCTAACAAGACCATGCTATACCCACTGGTGACGAATATAGTGAATTCTGTTGAACATTTCAACTGTTTGTTGTTTTCCCATGCAAATGGCAGTGGCGTCTGCCGGCTCATACCACACACAAACAATTGCACGCACGCACTCAATCCTCTCCCCACGACTAGTTATCTCAAAAATGCTATGATCATACTCTCAGGGGGGATTAACGAAGCCCTCCCCACGACCCCATGAGACAGTTGATTGCATTCCTTGGATGAGCGACCTACCAGGGACTGAATTGCTGATCCTGTATGGTATGATTCCGTGATCCCAAGTTCGACTGTGGTTCACTAAAGTGTGTGAAAGGTCAGGAATAATGAGATTCATGTTTTGTATGTTATGGCTGGAATGACGTGTTTTAAAATACAATGACTTTAGCTATCTGGCAGTGGTATGCGACAGTTACAGCAATGGCATGTGAATACTGCAGAAAAATTATGTAGCTTATACATGTACATAGTCTACTATGAAAATTGGTCTCTTTCATCATGTACCATGCATGCATGCAATGCAGGTGATTAACTAGTGCAGCCTGCAGAGAGATTCATGGTTGATAGTTAGATTGTAATATGAGATGAGAAAAGAGGAGAGACAGGATGTGTATGCAAGACAGTCTGTGTTATCATAGCTGTCTGGGTCCTGGTACTGATAAAGAAAGATATTTACCTGGTTGAGCACAAGGGTTTTGATCAATTGCTTCAGGAGCTGCTGCACAGGCTAGTCTGCAACCCACTATAAAGATTAAGAGAAAAAGCATTGTCAGTTTTTACGAATCTCTGGATATCAGGTAGCAAACAAAGGGAGGAGTGAGAGAGGAGGAGAGGGCCTTCAAAAAAGCTTATCTTTGCACACACCTCTCCCCACACTCTCTCTTTTATCGTGCAGCTCCACCTTGACATGTGGCCGAACGTCGAACGCCCACTCATCACACGATCGCGTGAGCTCAAAAAAACTTAGCTTTAATAACTAAGGACACGCCTATATTATAAAATGGCGTCCAAATAGTAGGCCACGTTTAAGCACATGGAGGGAGACACTGTTGATGTAGAAGAGGATGGAGGTGGCTATACTTGGGAAGGAGAGTACGAGAGACCATGGTAAATTTTGTGCTATTATACTTAATGGATTTGTGTTGATATTTTGGCTATTGTTCTCAGGGAAGCCATTCAAGAGGATATCGAGGGACACATTTTAGCTCCAGACGATGATTTTATGTACAAAACAAAGCGAAGAAAGTAAACATGCAAACTAATTAGTGTATTATTAATTATATTATTATTATTATTTAGGTTGTTTAATCATGAGAGTGGTGTGAAGCTTGGAATAGTAAAATATAAATTAAAATAATACATGGTTCATGGCTATATTAACTAGATGAGGCACATTTTAATTGTGGTCGATTCCACTCAATCAATGAATGACAAAGATCTCAAGCCTAATAGATTTACTTGCACTAAAACAGTTAGCCTCACTCTTTTCCCCCCCTCTCTCTCATTCTCTCAATCACTTATGTACATTATGCTGCATTTATGTGTACATTTTATCATCTAATATTTTATGTAACATTCAAGCTATGTGGCATTCGATCATGCATGTACATGTAATGGACAATTTGGTACAAGAAAGTTAGCTCTATTATACAGAGGTGTCCTTTATGTGGAGGTTATTTTATACAGTAAGGAGTGTAATTGGTATACTAGGTGCTGTCCGTTAAATGGAAGTATATGCTATAGAGAGTGTCCATTAAGAGAGACTGTACTTCAAGCCTTTCTACACTAGTACTTCTAATGCGCATTGAACTGGTTTGAAACCGGTTCCTGTCATCCCACACCTGATGCGAATTGGCTTCAATGTGCATTAAGCCAAACCACCTCCATATGTGGTTTGAATGCTGCTCATAACCAATGGCAGCTGGATCAGAAATGCTATCAAAATATAAATGATCCTGAAAATAGTGTGGAATCACTTGATGTGCATTGAATGTCATCAGTTCAAACTGGTTCAAACTGCATTGCAAGTGTAGAAAGGCCTTTAGTATCCCTGTACTATGGTTTTTTAAATAATAATAATAATACATATGCAATGTATATGTGCATCTGGGTTAAAAGTTGACAAGTAAATTGATATACATTGTACTGTATACATTTTCTTATCAATGCATGCATATATTACCATATAGCGGGAAATTTTGGAGGGAATAAAATTTGGCGAATTGCTAAATTTTGGTGATTGGCAGATTTTAATTTGGCGAATTTGTGGCCACATGCCATTGAGCATGCGCGTAATTGCTGCAAATGGGGGAAATTAATTTTGGCAGATGGCTATTGAAATGCCAATCTGCCAAATTCAATTCCTTCCAAAATTTCCCGCTATACGGTATTGTACATGTAGTTCTGTCTTGGGTTGTGACTCATTGTTGTGATTTTCCTCGGACCAATTTGTCGTGTGGCATTGTAGATTGTATTTATAATTAAATAATGATTATAATTAGATTTACAGGGTAGAAGCCTCCTAACGCCTGTGGCTTTGAGGCATATGTTTCTTTATTCTTTGTCTGTTTCTTTTTGTCCTTTTTCACCTCCTTGTGGCATTCTCATTAAACCCCTTCTTCCTTATTCTGTTCTCCTCCTCTTCCTCTTTAAAGTCCTTTTATCATATTTCTCTGTGACAGAATCGTTATTTCCTTCTTCCTTGTCTCTTCCTCCCTCTCTCCTTTCTTTACCTAACCCTCTCTTCCTCTCTCTCCGTCTCTGTTTCTGTCTCTGTCTCTGTCTCTCTGTCTCTCTTCTCTCTGTCTCTGTCTCTGTCTCTCTCTCTATTTTTCTCCTTCTCTCTTTCTCTCTTTCTTTTAGGTCTTAAAGAAATTTCTTGATGAGTTTTTTGACTTCAATCCAATATCACAAGTAATAATTTAATTAATGACCAGCTATTCATGTCACATTGCATAATTCTATTAGAGAGACAGAAGGAGATATCATACAAATACTATAATCAATATTTGTAATTATATAGTATTTTATACTACCACATGTACAGCACATTTATTGGTACAATGTATTATACAAGTGCTAAGTAATTTATTGACCCCCAATTTGCACTCTGATGATTCTGATACATACCTCTGTTGTGTTAAAAGATTGAGCTGGTTCCAATCGAAATGGATTTTTTTTTTTGCGAATTTTTAAAGTCACTCCAAAATCTGGCCAAAGTCCCTGTACTATATAGTAGTTAAATAATGATGTTCCAAAAATAAAATAATTTTATATACATGTTTGAGTGTATGTGGCATAACTGTTTTTTATGTGATCATACTTAGAAAGTTAATGTAAGATGACCCAGGGCAAGATCAATGTTGGTAGACGAATGAATCGGTCTATGATAAGACGAACGAGGGCCTCTGAAGGAAACGATAGCAGATCATAAAAGAGAAAACGAAAGACGGCATCTAATCCAATTTAGAGTAGTAGAATAAGGCTTTGATTGTCTTTCAGATAAAAAAGAAGCCAATCTCTTATAGAATACATTTGAAGATGGGCTTATACCACTAGAGGTAGTAAAAAACTAAAGGTGTAAAGGAATCATGCTCTACATTTCTTATCCTTTCTTCATAACACCTCTTTTCTTTCTCATTCTTGTATGACATGTCTTCAGTTTTGAACTTTTATACATAGAAGAGAAAGGATTGAAAACACAGAGTACAGTTAAATTTCTTCAAAAATTACTAGGAGAGAATTCTTTCATTTTTATAATTTTTTCTGATGCATATACATGTACTTATGGCTGTACTACAGTATAGGGTCTAGGAGAGTATTACCTGTCTATGCAGCAAGTCCAATAATAATAATAAGTCCTTTAATAGGTTGGACTGATATTAATGTCTGATGGAAA